CACCACCAAACCACTACACCCCCCCCCCCCATGTCCCACCACCCAAGTTCCATCTATCCCTCCCCCCCCAGCCTAAACCGCTTTCGTTGCTCTGCCTATCTTTGCCTGCTATCACGCTCGTTGATCGCTGCGATCTCTACTTTTATGCGCAGGGTCCCCGTCACCACCAAAAAACCCTCCTCATTACCTGCCTGTCCCCGTCCTTTTCTGCTGCTCCTCCTCGCCCACCACCCCGACTCGTCGTCCCTTCTTATACCTGCCGTCTCTCGGTTTCTCTTTCTCGCCTCCCAACTTCTGGATCGGGTCTCGTCTTGTGCTTGTGTTCTTGATAAGCCCATAAGCCTCCTCGGACTTCTTCCGTACCTTCATTTTGGCATCCTGTCGCTGCGTCTCGAGGCCCTCGTCACCCCCCCCGTCAACCCGTCAAGAAAAGAAAACGACTCGCCCATAATATACATACCCTACGATACCATACATATATACATATATCCCATCACGGCCTGTCGCTTCCCATACGATACATCCTGCGTGACAACACTCTCACTCGACGAGCCTATGTATAATCTGTCATCTCGACTTTGAATCTACCGTTAGACAAGTCTTGGAATCCTCCCAAAACTGTCGTCCAGTCATTCTCTACAACTCGCGGTTTTTAATCCTTCGAGAGCATCGACCCCTTCCGGTCTCTTTCGCCCTTCGATATCACGAACCCGATACCCTCCTACAACCCGTCAACTTGTTTCAATCTGCTAGTTCAGATTAACTAACTTGGTATGTCGTGAATGAGCCAGGGCAGGAGTGTCGATGGGCACATCAAGTGCCCTGAAAACTGGACGAACGCAACTAACACCCGCCAGACCACACACACACAATCTAGAAGCCAACGGGAATTCCTACCATGGACGCTTCATACCTTCAAGCTCAAGCCATGGCGCAATCGCCGTTCTTCTACTACAACCCGGATCCCAAGCCCGACACTCGTCACCATGGCCATTTCTCGCAGCAGCCCAACAATATGCAGGTCCCAATGTACCAACAGCAAGTGCAGCCGATGCCTTCCACACCCATCTACTCGCGGCCAAACTCGTCGGGCTCCCAGATGCCAATGCAGCCCATGATGTTCAACTCGGGATTCCCAGCCAACATGACACCCATGGTCTCGCCGCGTCCCATGTACCAGAAGCCGGCCATCTTGATCCAGGGGCACTCGCCTAGGTTGATGATCGAGCCCGATATGCACGAGGGCGACATGTATTATTATCCCTCGACTCCGCCCTTGTCGACGTCGGGAAGTGCCATCAGCAGCCCTTCTAGCTCCGAAATGGTGCCAACGCCATTGAACACCATGTTCTACGGACTCGAAGGATTTGAAGGAGTGAAAGAGGGATGCGAGGGTGAGGTCCAATCAGAGAACCTCGCTGGCGGCGATTGGGCTCGATGTGGATCTCCACCCATGACACCAGGTATGTGGAATTTGATGCTCTGAATTTCCTCTCCTCGCAGCCGTGTTTCCTACCAAGTTTATTTTGCGTTGATGGTATCGTTGGCGGAATTTCGCTGACTAGTGTGGTAAATTCAGTCTTCATCCACCCACCTTCGCTTATGAGCAACAGCACTAGCGAGCTGCTTCCCGCAACTTCTTGTCCCTCGCTTTCCCCATCCCCTTCCCCTTACCCTCGATCAGAACAAGACTTCGACTTCTGCGACCCGCGAAATCTCACGGTTGGTACTGGTCAATCTGCACCCGCGCCAAACCCAACCTTGAAGCCAGCCGTAGAATTTCCTGCTCTGCCCACACTTTGCGCAGGCGACGACGAGGAACACCGGTTCATGCTAGGGGGTGAGACCTTCACGAAAGCTCCCGAGACAAATACACTTGCGACCAGCTTCGACTTCACGCCCACCGCCCCGCACGACAGTCTGCCAACATTCGATCACTTCTCTGACCTCGACTCGGAAGACGAATTCGTCAACGGGCTAGTCAATTTCCCACCCACCGAGAACGTCCAATTTTTCGGAAACAAGAGACAACGCACTGGATCCGATCCGGTCACTGTCGACCACGAGACCTACATCAGCGAGGACGACTTTGAGGTCGAAGACTTTGAGGAATCTGAACAATTTGCTGTCGCCTGCCCCCCCAGTCCACCGGCGTCGGGCTCAGAGGCCGAGAACAAGAAGACAAAGCGTAGCAAGAAGTCAAAGAAGTCCCACTGCGAGGAAGACAGCTCTGAATTTGACGATCTCGTCCGGTCCCGCAAGTACACCGTTCCAATGAACGCTGCCGCTGGGTCACCAGCTCAAGAGAGCACCAACCAACATACCTCCACTGCGCCAAGTCAATCTGGCTCGTCTGAGACCAACACTGCCAACGTGATGGGAACTGGCTCCGAGGCTGGGGCCACCCCCTCTCACCAGGCACCTGTCAACCGCCGCGGCCGAAAACAATCCCTCACAGAGGACCCCTCAAAGACCTTTGTCTGCGAGCTGTGCAATCGTCGATTCAGACGCCAAGAACACCTCAAGAGACACTACCGTTCCCTCCACACCCAAGATAAGCCTTTCGAGTGTCACGAGTGCGGCAAGAAGTTCTCACGCAGTGACAACCTGTCTCAACATGCTCGAACCCACGGCAGTGGTGCTATTGTCATGGGAGTCTTGGAAGACGGTGAACTACCAGCCGACCACATGGAATCGGCGAGTGATGGGGAACACATCCATGCTCTGGGCAGCGTTCTCTACAACGTCGCAGCCGCAGCATCTGGCAGCGAGACCGAGGTTTCTTCAGATGGCGGGAGCAGTGATGGCGATAGCCAGTCCCGCAAGAAGCGCAAACGCTCTGAATGAATGAATTTTTCTGCATAGGCCGTTCGATACTTTCTATCACGCCAGTCACGAGACCCACGAAATCGAAACGCCATTTCACTTCATCTTCATACTGGGTTCCTCCTCCCTACCTCCCCCTACTGGGATGGTTCATTGGGAGGGACCCAGACCTTGATTATGCTGATGCTGTCATGATGGATTGGAGGGAGATATCAAAAGCTTTTTGCCTTGGTTTTTTTCCGTTGCGCTGCCATGATTCGAATTTTCGCTTCTCCTGTATTACACCTTTTTCTCTTTTTCTTGAAAACTCTTTGTGCCAATTTAGCGTGATGAACGAATTTGATGGAGGGATGGATGGAAAGGGTGGCGGCGTGTATCTGATATGAGGGGTGGATGGCCAGCTTTGATTTCTTCTTTACGTGCGCTTGTAATAATAGAGGCGGCGGCTTTGCTTGGTTTTTTCGACCCTCATAGCTTCATGTCTTCTTCCTGCCTTTTCGTTCCTCCTTTGACCGCTAGCTGCTCGCATTGTGCTGGTCACGAAATGTACATCAGCGGGAAAGAACACCAAAAAAAGAACTTGTATAGAAAAGGAACCTTTGCCTAGTACTACATTCCCAATGTTGTCTTGAAAATATGTGATGTGATTATTACAACCGGATCTACCTCTATGCGTGCCTCTGGAACACGCAAATCCCACCCGTATTTTACAGAAGGGCGACGTAGGGGGGAAGAAATGGGGGATTGGAAGCCTCAGGCACCAAACTCTTAAATATATCCGAATATAAACCGCACAAGAATTAGAATCTCGAGCCACAGTAGGTCGTCAGTGACCACATCCATCTCCAGGCACTCATAAGCTCAAGGAGCTTTGAAAGGAAGATTTGCAGCAGAGATTCTGTAGATGGAGTTCCATCCACATCGAGTCATTCCAATCTCTCTACTTCTCTGCTACAGCGCACAAGATGGCCGCTGCCGAGTCTCTGAACGTGATCGCGCTGATCTCAGGCGGCAAGGATAGTTTCTTTTCAATCTTGCATTGTCTACAGAACGGGCACAGAGTTGTAGCCCTAGCGAACCTATATCCTTCTCCCTTACCCCTGGGCGAGAAAGGCGCGGGCGAGGAAGAGGAGGATCTCAACAGCTTCATGTTCCAGACCGTCGGCCACACGGTCATCCCTCTATACGAGCAAGCTCTCGGGATCCCGCTGTATCGGCAGCCGATTGTCGGGGGCGCCGTGCACACGGGGACTAGTTATAGCTGTTCACAGGACGATGAGACCGAGTCCCTGGTGCCGCTCCTGCAAAGGGTCATGAGTGCGCACCCGGAAGCAAACGCGCTCAGTACGGGAGCCATCCTGTCGACGTACCAGCGCACGCGCGTCGAGTCGGTGGCGGGCCGGCTGGGCCTGATCCCGCTGGCGTTCCTGTGGCAGTATCCTGTGCTGCCGCCGCGCACGCAGACGGCGCTGCTGCAGGATATGCAGGCGGTGGGTCTGGAGGCGCGGATTGTCAAGGTGGCGAGCGGCGGCCTGGATGAGAGTTTCTTGTGGGAGGATGTGGGGAGTGGGACGGTGGTGAGGAGGCTGGAGAGGGCTATGAGGAGGTTTGGCTCGGATGGGGATGGGGCGGTGTTGGGGGAGGGAGGGGAGTTCGAGACGTTGGTGGTGGATGGGCCGAGGGACTTGTTTAAGGGAAGGATTGAGATTCGGGAGGAGGATCGGAGGGTTGTGAGAGAAGGCGGGGGAGCGGCGTGGTTGCGGTTTTTAGATGCGAGGGTGGTGATGAAGAGCTCCGAGGAGGAGAGTCCCCGGTTGGATTGTCGTATTCCGGATCTGCTCGAGCCAAAATTCGCAGGTATCTTGGAGAACTTGGAAGCTTTTGGGAAAGACGATGGAGGAGCTGGACTGGCAAGCTCGATAGATCTATCCGCGCGGACGCCGTCGTACAGCCTCCAGTTGTCGGATATATCGTCTCCTGGAGGAGGCGGGGACGGGTTTCTGTACTGGACTATTGCGGCGGAGAGGAAGCAGACCACTCAGACGATTTCTGAAGAGGCGGCTGAGATCATGGCAGAGGTTCGGCGGCGTTTGAGCCAGTTGTCCCTGGAGGCTAGTGATATCACATCCACGATGATCATTCTTCGCTCCATGGAAGATTTCGTCGCTGTCAACAAGGTATGTATCACTACTCTCTTGACGCTGTTGAATACAGGAACTTCTCTCTTCATCATACCCCTCTTCTAACACCCGTCAGGTCTACGGCGCTCTCTTCACCAAGCCAAATCCTCCCGCAAGAGTGACCATCTCCTGCGGTTTCGCCATGCCACACGCCCTGAATATCATCCTGCATCTCAAAATCCTCAACCCATCATCATCCCCACCCCCATCCCGCAGCGCTCTCCACGTCCAATCCCGCTCCTACTGGGCCCCCGCCAACATCGGGCCCTATTCCCAAGCAACCTCCACCACCCTCTCTCCCGGCGCAACGCAAATCTCCATCGCAGGCCAGATCCCCCTCCTCCCCTCCTCCATGTCCCTTCCCGGCGCTTCTTCCTCCTCTCCACTTCAAGACTTCTCCCTCCAAGCCACCCTCGCCCTCCAACACCTCTTCCGCATCGCCTTCGCTACATCCACCCGCTGGCTCCCCGGCGCCATCGCCTACCTCCCAGTATCCACCTCCCTTCCCCCTCCTCCCCTCCTCGCCCGCCTCCTATCCCGCACCTGGACGCTAGCGCACGAGGACCCAACACCGACTTCCTCCGCCCCGCCGTCTCCCACGCTCGATCTCTGGGCCGAGAAACATGACGCGGCCATGCGGAGCCTGGGGAGAGAGGAGCGGCCTGGGTTTCCAGACCCTGGGGTTTGCGAGGGTGAGGTGGGTGCGGGACCGGTTTTTGTCGTCGTGGTGCAGGAGTTGCCGAGGGGAGCGATGGTCGAGTGGCATGCGCTGGGGGGTGTGGGTGGAGAGGGTTTGAAGGTATGTTTTTTCCTTTCCTTCTTGTTTCTCCTTATCCTTCTCTTCCTTTATCCTCTCATATCATATCATATCACATCATATAACCTCCCCTCATTCCTCACCCACTCACCCACCCACCCACTCATCAAACAAACAAACAAACAAACAAGACTAACCTCCCACCCCATTCTCCCAGCTCACCACAAGCATCATCTCAACATCCAATTTCCAAATCCACAAAACGCAAAGCGCCTCCTCCTCCTCCTCCTCTCCCTCACACACCATCATAATAAGCCTCCCATACAACAGCAGCAGCAATCCCTCCACACTCTCTCAAAACCTCTCTTTAGCACTCTCCCAATACCAACCCGAATCCCAAACCGAAGCCGGGCGAACACAGCATCTCTTTATCGACGTGGGGATTTTAGAAGAGATAGGAGATGATATACGGATGACTATGTCGGGCTTCGTGCCGTGTTGGAGTATCTGGAATGCTGAGGGGGAGAGATTAGGCGCTGTGCTGGTTTTTTTGTTGGAGGGGTAGTGGGGATGGTTTATTACTGAGTTATATAAGATAAGGTATATATATATATGTACTCCTTATATCTAAGATATCCAAAATCAAAACAAACCCAAAAGAAGGAAAAATCCATAACTTTCACTTTCACTTTCATTTCATTTCATTCCACTACATTCCATTCATTTCCGGAAACCGACGAAAAAAGGGGGCAAAAAACAGAGAGGGAAAGGAGAACAGAACATACAACAGTCGGTATGTATGTATTCGCCGAGTAGAAAGGAAACTTAAAGTAGAGAGGATGGGATGGGATGGGATGTCTAGTCCTGGATTCTGAGGTTGGGGGTTGGGATGGGGAAGGTTTGCGGGGGTTTTAGGTATATAAGGTATATGTGTATGTGTATATAGGTAGGTACTTAGGTAGGTGGGATAGAGATATAAGAGGGAAGGTATTCGCTGGTGGTCGTCTAGGTATTTAGTATTTAGTATTCATTTATATATTACAATCAAGTCCTATTCACACACACACGTACACAAACACTCCCTCCCTCCCTACCTTACCCTACCCTACCTACCTACCACCCACCCTTCCCACCAAACCCACTCGAATCCTCAATCTTCTTCTGGCCACCCCCGCTCCTCGCCGACTTCTGCTGCGCCGCCTCATGCTTCCGCAGCTCCTCGGGGACGCGCGAGATGGAGCTCTTGGACAGCATCTGCTTCAGGTCATACAGCACGTCGGCGTCCTCGCTGCCCAGGAACGTGATCGCCACACCGCTCTTGCCCGCACGCCCCGTGCGCCCGATGCGGTGCGTGTAGCTCTCGATGCTCGTCGCCATGTTGAAGTTGACCACCAGGCTGACGTCCGGCACGTCGATACCGCGACCCGCGAGGTCCGTGGCCACGAGGACGTTGGTGTTGCCGCTGCGGACCGAGGCGAGGGCTGCCTCGCGCTGCTCTTGCGTTTTGCTGCCGTGAAGCGTGACGGCGGAGAAGCCCATGTGTTTGATGTCGCGCGCCACGGCGTCGCAGTTGCGCTTGATGTTGACGAAGACGATGATTGGCGGCTGGAACTCGCCTGAGGAGAGGATCTCGTTGAGTCGCTTCTTGCGCTTGTCTTCGCCGGCGATGAACTCTACGCGCTGCTCAACCGTCTCGACGGCTTCGCCGATGTTGCCGATGGTGACGATGGCCGGGCGGCGCAGGTACTTCTTGGCGATCTTCTCGACGGCCGGAGGCATGGTCGCCGTGTACATCATGGTCTGGCGGTATCGATCCTTCCCCCCTAGATGCCTGCTCATCGCTTGAGCATCCTCGGCGTCATCCGTGTCGGGCTTTTCGTTGCCCACGGGGAGAGCGTCGAGGATCTTGTTCACGGATTCCTCGAAGCCGAGATCGATCATGCGATCAGCCTCATCCATGATCACATAGCAGCACTGGCCTAGGACCAGGACGCGCCTCTCGATACAATCCACCAGACGACCGGGGGTCGCGATGACGATCTCGGCACCGTTCCGTAAGTTGTAAGCTTGCTCCTCGAGAGAGTGACCACCCACGATACTGACACAGGTAAAGTTGAGCGGCGTGGCGAATTTTCGGGCCTCGACTTCGATCTGCTGAGCCAGTTCACGAGTTGGGGCGAGAATGATGGCATATGGACCGTCATTCTTCGTGTATTCATTGAGAGGAGGCAGTTCGGAAATGTAGACGAGTAGTGGTAGCAGGAAAGCAGCGGTTTTACCTGAACCCGTGACAGCAACGCCGATCAGGTCCCTAGCTTGCAGAGCAATAGGTATAGCAGCTCTTTGCACTGCTGAAGGTTCGTCGTATCCAACCTGGGCGATAATATCGAGCAGACGTTTGGGCAGTCCAGATTCTTGCCAGTTCCGCATAGGATTTGGAATGCTGCCGCCCTTGGTGCTGATGTTGAAATCCTCCTTGAAGATACGCCAATCCCGTTCCCGCATGTGTTCCAGCTTCTTCTCACTCCAGTGTTTATCCAGGGAATTCCTCCCACCGGCATCTTCCTTCCGCCGCCTTTCCATCTCCAGGATCTCTCTTGCGCGTGCACTCCCAGCCTCTGCATCTCGCTCTTCTAATGCTTTGGCATACTTTAATGCCCCATTCTCACTGATATCCTCCGCAAACCCACCCAATCTGCCTCTCCCGTAGAAGTTCGCTTCAGCACGGGTAGAATATATAGGGTTGTAATCCGGGCTCGTATCCTCCTCAGCGTTCCATTCAAAGTTGAATTTCTTCTCCGTCGTCCGCCGTCGTTTCTTCTTTGCTGAAAACGTGGATTGGTTGGTTTCCGCACCCATGTAACGCGTCCTAACCAAGGCAGCTTGGGTGTCTTCACCATTTGCAGGACGCTTCTCGCCGGCTAGAGAAGCTTTCCCGTTGCCAGCTGATGGTTTTGGCGGAGGCGGCATATCCCCTCGATTGTTCTGACCATTCCGCGGTTGATCGCCTTGGCGCATAGCTCTCGGCCCCGTGGGGACTGACGACGGCGCCCGGCCATTCGTCTCGCGCTGTGCAAACCCGTCGTAATGTTCCCTCCCATTCAGCTCTGTGTCGCCATTCCAGACCGGCGCTCCTTCATTTCGCGCGGCCTCAAGTTTCTGCTTCTGTTCCTCGACCTCTCGTGCCCTCTTCTCGAGCGCGAGTTTCTCCCGCGCGGCTTTCGACAGAAATTTAGGCTGTAGTATCAGGCGGTTAGTATATGTATGGGAAGATACTAGATTTGCATTGTGAACATTGCTGCCGGACATGCTTCGATGCAGGGGAACACATACCTTGGCTGCAGCCTCATCAGCCTCCTTCTTCTTCTTGAGAATATCTTCAATGCTCAGCGGTCCGCGAGATGGTGTGCTACCCCATCCCTTCTTCTTCTTTACTGGCTCCTCGGGGGGCGGGGGCAAAGCGTCGGACGGTGGCGGAGGAGGGAGGTCGCTGGGTGGGGGTGGAGCAAATGAACTCGGTGGTGGAGGAGGGGCGAGTGAATCTGGAGGTGGAGGGGGAGCAGCGGAATCAGGAGGAGGTGGTGGAGGAGATGGTAGTCTGCCATTTACCTCCACAGGAGGGGGAGGCACTGAAGTGTCGCCATGTTGGTGTGCATTGGTTAACGTGGCCATCGCTCACGAATAAAATGAAAGGACTGTCTTCTCTACTCCTCTACTATCTAGATATTATATCGAAAGACAGGACGTAGAGGTAGTGAGAGTTCTAACAAGGTGGAAGTGATAAGTTGTCACTGTTGATGTTCGTTGACGTTGCCGCAAGGCTGCAAATCGAGGCTCGCGAGGTTCAAAACTCTAAATTTATTATTAAGCGAGTTCGAGATTACTCCCATCGACAACCATCCGTCCCCTCTCAGCAGCTCTCTGTGCACCACACCGACCGACCATGTTTCCACGGCATTACATCAAGCTGGCCGAAGGGCTGCCGCCGCGTCTCACCCGCTTCTTCGCCCGCTATCCCCCACAAGCCATCCTCCCACCCAAGGAACAAGAAGCCGCTGCCCAGGCGCCTTCGCCCTTCAAGCCGCACAAGCACCCGGTCACTGGCAAATGGCATAACCCGGTGTTCTCGCTGCGCCGACAGGCTGAACTTGTCAAGCTGGCGCGGCAGCATGGCGTTGAGGAGCTGCTGCCACACACAGTAAAGGGCACGGAGGAGCGGATCCGGAGGAGAGTAGAGAATGGGCTCCGGGTTAAGGGAACTGGTGTTGGGCAGCGCGTGAAGGGAAAGGAATCAGAACGCATGCTGAAGGCACGGTATGTTTTGCAGATGTTTTGCGTTTTTGACGCTTTGGATTCTGCGGAAGGAGGGATACTGATGGTTTTACAATAGGTTGGAGAAGCGCAGACAGGCGATGTTGGAGATGCCAAAGATGATCCAGACATGGAAAGAGGTATGTTTCTTCCCTCCAAGCCGAGTAGTTGTTTTGATGCTGATTTCAAATTACAGAGAGGTCATGGTCGTGGATGGAAGAAGTGGCCGAAATAAGCAACGCCGTGATGAGAGTCGGATGGTCGGTCTGGCAGCGTAGGATCTTTCTGTACGAATATCACCCTGGCTACAGGATTGCATAGGGTATGGCGTTGGACAGAATCGAGTTTCGTGTTGTTGTGTATCATATTTTCTATGTTGTCTCTTGGCATGAGGATCCTTTGGGCAATCATCTACCGAAGCTCTATCTAAATGGAACTCCTTTTCTTACATGCCAGATATATTCTCCATGCAGAACTTCGGCTGCTGCACAGATTTCCCGGGAAACTGCTAGGTAGGCAGTAGAAAAGCCTGAGTTCCGCCCGTCTACTTGCTTCAACGCATCTCCCTTGTTGCCTCCAATACACTAATGTTTAGGCCTCTTAGCTGTATAAGACAGTATTCTCTCAGAGAACTAGGGAGTCTTCCTGCTAGGCAAAGCATCTGTTCACGCACGGCATGACCGTGAACCAGCGGTTGTCCAACAATCCAAAATGCGCAGTATCCTTATTTCTGTCTCTCCTCTGATCTTGGTCATAACTAATATAAGGGCATAGCTGGGAGAAGAGCTGTGTGTTCTATCCCCGGAGCAAGTGTCACGTGAAAGTTATATACAAGATGAGCTCAGATAAAGCAGATTTGAGTAAATATCTGCACCAGAAATTCGATTCTTGCCATAGCTAACATCTGAGTAGATCCCCCATAGGAATGTTTTTCTTCTTCACGGTCCTGCCAGTGCAGAAATCGCAATGAAAAAAAAGAGTATTCTGTCAGACTTCCATCAACACCCACCCAGTTCCCATGGCCGAAGCCGATAGTAAAAGGGTCGAGATCATCGCCACTTCCTATACAGCAAATGCTTGCACATATGCCGCCATCTTTTCAGACAGTGCGGAAGTATAAGGCCTCACTCTTGGGCATTGAGGATCAAATCATCGTCCAGAATGGAGAATCTGTAGCTTTTGTGAGAAGCTCAGAAGAAGACGTTTACTATAGAAATGATTCTATGCTGTACAGAGAAGGATTGTTAGCATGTGTAGCAAGTATGAAGATTGATTCATCTCGAGCCAGGCTAGGCAAGAAGAGATGAGAAGGGAATGTTTGGGGGGGTTGAACGTACAAGTAAAATCGCTGAAGAAGAAAGGTATGTGGGAGAGGACGGGATGTTATATACTCGACGGCCACGCTAGCGCGCCTAACCGAGAGGCTACGGGAGAAAGGCGACGGGAGAAATTTTCACCTAGACGACCAGACGGGTCATGTGACGATGGTGTTTTGTTGCACATCGCATCCGAAGGAGTGTCAATGTTGGCTTTGATGGTGGTAGGATTAGCATCACGTGCGCGATATGGGAGATGGGGAAATTTTGTAGCACATCGCAGCAGCGCTTGTCGTGGGGGTGTTGAGCGTTGGTTTCGATGGCTGCGACATTAGCATCATGTGATTTGGATGTCAGATATTGCAGCTAACATGTGATTTTCACATGGAAATGGACGACGGGATGTTGAAAGCGCACGTGATCATTAGAGCGGCGGGCCTCCGTGCTCCAGGCGGCGGGAGATATTCACTCAACAAAAGCACGGAAGCAGACTAGTGGCCACCCAACAAACGAAAGCGCCGAGCGGGCAAGGGGAAGGGCCCTAACTTAAAGTAAACCCTGCATGCATCCGCTTCCGGGGGTACCTTAGGGGCTGGGCGAAGGGAAGGCTTATGATTGGCCAATTACAGGTCGGGGATATTTCGTGGGAGTCTCAGAGATGGTATGTGCGGTGCGGAGATTGATTGTCGGCATTTCAGTAAGGACGGAGGGAAGAAATGCAACGGCAATCGTTATCTCATGATCTGAGTGGTGACATTGTCTTTTATACGGTACTGTATTCATGCCCGAGACGATTCTCTCTACCAAGGAATACCAAGGACTCAAGGAAGGGTCCATCCGCTGGCCAGTGGGGCAGGGCACCGCGAGATGTGCATCTGTTCTTACAATCCATTGCTCATTGATTAGATGAGGCTAGGCGATTCTGGGAAAAGCAGCAGATGGAGGCATCATGCACCCCTTCAGAAATACAGATCCTCATCCCGCGGTTGCGTCTTATTCATTTTGCATGTGCGTGAGTGACATGTGGCATATGCATGTGAAGACGACTCGATAAGAGGAAAGCAAGGGTGTAATACTATGATAGAGATATTTTACTCCATATTACTGTAATTCCACCGAATTTACGGGACCTTAAGCTGAACATCGTTTGCCTGTTCCGCCTTAGTCCTGTTGCTGCTCTAATCAATACCGTTATCCGAACAGACTAGTAAGCTGTGGCAACAGTAAAGGGGTAGCGACAGTATTCTATTGGCTATGGCAACGATTTGTTCCCGATTATAGGCACAGTAAAGATGGTTGTACCAGTCATCAATGTACCAGAACTTTATATCGGCCTATTCTGATAGCTTTATCAGAGTCTTCTACTGCAGTAAAATTTTGCTCTACAGGTACCTTTGAAACCAACGCGCGGACGGTGGCAAATTGCAACATCGCGTATCGAGGAACCTTTCTACAGAGATACGGGAGTACCGCAATATGGTTAGAAGCCCCGAGTATCCTAACAGACATCTACCTACCTTACCTAAGGTAGGTATCTAAGGTAAAGGTAAGGTATACTCAGAGTTACTGTCTTGAAATGGATATAAAAACGTTAGGCCTACATCTTTTTCATCTTCAAAAGTCCCAGCAGTTCGCAAACCACTGGGCTTTCAACATGGAAGACGAACAGAGTCCAAGTCTCGGAGATTCATCCCGCGGCGAGTCTTCGACAGGAGCAAGATCACTCATCAAGTCCATTTGAGGGACGCGCTTCCTCCGCTTCAGCTAATTCTAGGTCCTTCAGCGGAAGAAGTCAGGCTGTATTTCACCGGGCTTGAGGGAAACCCCGAGTAGGTTGCGCGCAGCAGTAACCCCTTCCCAAGATTCGAACACCGAGATGATAGCAGGCACTCACCAGAAAATGCCATTCAACGTCGGCCAGCACCCCATTGCGGAATCGTATGATCGTGGACCCCGAAAATAAAATTTGGGCTGTCCTTCGGGATTTGCCCTGGCGCAGCATTGATATCCTGAGGACTGGACGTTGCTACTCGAAATCCCGTGGTGGACATAGTCACCGTCCAGCTGGGAGGTGTAGATTTTTCCGAGCTCAAGATGCTGTTGGTAGATGCCGTGGAGTTCTTCTAGAATGCTTATTCCATTGCCGTCTCGAATGAATCCCTCTGATTGGTTCCCCTAGCCATGATCTTGACATTCATGTCGAGATGATGGAGGGATGGTTCTAGGTAAAAGCAGCCAGAGACGGGACGACATGTTCGGGAAAACTGACAGTAAAATATTCTGCTCGCCCACCCTGATAGTAATAATACTTCAGTTATAGTAGTAGTAATGGTAGCAGTGATCTCATTTTGTGTTTTGTACTGCAAGTATGACCTACGGTCACTAGTACAGCGTATGGCGACTTCTTGGTATCCTCAGAGCCCATCCACACGTCTATCACAGTTGCTGGCATTCGAATAGAGACCCTTAATCGGTACGCACATTTGCTCAAGTAATAAGATACTCTTCTACTTACCTGCATTATACTACTGTATCATGTACGGAGTACATTCCCGAAATGTGACGTCCATGTGCCATCATTCATGTGGCTGGCGTTGCTGTGCCATGGAAAAGAGAGCATTGGTCCTTCGACGATGATCCGAGGTAGACGAGATCATTATTATCGCGTGTGGTTGGAGGGGGGAATGGGGGGACCGTGGACACTTTGAAGTGGAGGCACTACTTGACGGCGCAAAAGTAAGTGTTAAAGTAGCTAGCAAGATAGGTAGCAACGTGGCTTTGGCGGTGAAGCGCTGAGGTGAAACCGAGAAGAGCCAGGACAAGACTCAAGAGTTGCCACCCCCACGACGGATATTTCTTCCCCCGTACGGAGAAGTATCCCTACGCAGTAGCATCCTAGCAATTGGACAAGGGACAGCAGAACTCAATCTCGACGCACGTTGTTGGCCAGGTGGAGGGGCCGGGACGACGACTAGCTCTGTCTCTCCACGACAAGAGCAAGTCGGCAAGTCCCCATTGCCAATCGATGGCGGGGAGGGAAAGGCAGCTGGGAGAGACAATATGCACTTGTGTTCGAGAGAGGGAGATGATGCTCGGCCCATCGCGCTGCACAGCATCGTGGATGTCCTCTGGCGCTGCGCTGCACCATGGCGTGCGCTGAAGGCCAGACACATCATGATCTCCTGCTCCAGCCTCGAAGACAGAAGATCATCTGTTTCGGACAGGCCGCCGGGCGAGTGTGTGGGTTGACAATACTATACGCAGGACGATGAATTGTTGAAGGGGCGAGCAGACAGACGATCATGCCTTTGAACGCCCCGCCACGGCCAATGAGGAGGAACGGATGTTACCCACAGATGAGCATAATGCAGCGTTCGCAGCAAGCTGTAAAGTGTAAAGTAAGAAGAAGGTAAGGCAGGAAAGGAGCATGTAAGGAGAGAGTCTGGACAGGATGATGAGCATCTGAGTGGGAAATTGGGAATAATCGTGGTCTGATGCTGATGGAAAAGGTTGAGTATGACCGCTATATTGTCCCATCTCCTCGGGGTGTGAAGGGGTGAACGGCGGACCCCTTTCTACTTCCTAAGGTACGCGTAGATCTGTTGAGGCGGCTCTGGTAAAACCGCAGTACTGTACTGTATTCATGCGCGTGTTATTACCGCTATATAGGGCACTGCTGACTGGTATTATTGCCTCTTCTCGCCGTTTTACTGCCGTATTAATAAGTTGCACGGAAAACAGCTGGAGACTCGACGCGCTACTGGCCGCCCTAACCCTGTCAGGCGCGTTGACGGCCCCTAAGAGGTAAAATCTCGAAGTAGTCGGTCGCCGTGCCCTGGAGAACTGTTCAATTGCGCGCGCTGGAGCCCTCCGGCGCCAAGGCCCAAGGTGGTCTTACGATTCTTACCGAGGGGAGTGGTCCCGTGGAATTTCTTTGGTTTTAGTTTATCTGGGTAAATCTTATTTAAAAATCCAACCGGCCACCTCAGGAGAAGCACCTTTCTCTCCAACCCAACCCTCGAGCTCCCTCACGCCCGCCTTCACACGCCCTCTTTGGTGCGTGCTATAGCTTGTACGGTCTTATCCTACGTTCCAGAGCAATGGCTTCATTTACTGACATCTCGCGCAGGTCTTCCCGTCTCTGTGAGGAAACTTGGTTCCTGAAGGTGCAAGCATCACCGGTCTGGTCGAAATCCCAACAAGATATTTCGACCACCCTGTGCAATCTGCTCCAATCCCACTCCCAAGTGCAGTCGCCAGGAGATCAATTATCTGATTGACAACTCCCTCTTCTGCTCCGCAGGCCCAAATCTCGGTTCACAAGTCCCAAAATGTCCTCCACTGCGGTTCCTCAACGGACGGTCCTTCAGCGGACCGTCACTTCCACCACGGCTGATTCGTCGCCATCTACGGCCGCTGGCTCCCCGAATGACACCCCGAGACAATCGCCTTCTTCCACATCTCTGTCGTCAATGTCCTCCCTGGGTGAGGCGAAGGAAGAGAAGAAGGAGAAGGAATATGGCAAGCTCCTCGACACCTACGGCAACGAGTTCGAGATTCCCAACTACACTATCAAGGACATTCGGGATGCGATCCCCAAGCACTGCTTTGAACGGGATGGTCTCCGTAGTATGAGCTATGTCGTGCGAGACGTTGCCAGCCTTGCTATCACCTTCACGCTCTACTACAATTTCGTGACCCCGGAATATATCCCGTCAACCGCAATCCGCGCTGTACTTTGGACCTTCTACACCATTATTCAGGGTCTCTTCGGTACCGGTATCTGGGTTCTTGCTCACGAGTGTGGTCACCAGGCCTTCTCCACTTCCAAGCTTCTCAATGACACAACCGGCCTGATCTGCCACTCGGCTCTCCTCGTCCCATATTTCTCGTGGAAGCTCTCTCACGGCAAGCACCACAAGGCTACCGGAAACATGGCGCGCGATATGGTTTTCCTGCCAAAGACACGCGAACAATATGCCACCCGTATCGGCAAGATGGCCCATGAGCTCCATGAATTGACCGAGGAGACACCAATTGTAACTTTCATCCACTCCGTGGGCCAACAGCTTCTCGGCTGGCCCATGTATCTCTTCTCCAATGTGACGGGCCACAACAACCATGAGCGCCAGTCCGAAGGTCGTGGGAAGGGCAAGGTCAACGGTTACTTCACTGGAGTCAATCATTTCAATCCGTCAAGTCCGCTGTACGAAGCCAAAGATGCGAAGCTTATCCTCATCAGTGACCTGGGCCTCGCTGTGATGATTAGCATTTTAGTTGCTCTCTGCAAAGCCTTCACCTTCAAGAACATGCTCGTCTGGTACTTCCTCCCATACCTGTGGGTTAACCACTGGCTCGGTATGTCCCCGTAAGAATTCAGATATGAGGTATCTCAGCTAACCCGTCTCAGTTGCCATCACCTACCTGCAGCACACCGACCCAACGCTTCCCCACTACTCTGCCGAGAGCTGGAACTACGTCCGTGGTGCTGCTGCAACCATCGACCGTGACTTCGGTTTCATCGGCCGTACGCTCTTGCACGGAATTATCGAAACCCACGTCCTCCACCACTACGTGAGCACCATCCCATTCTACCACGCTGACGAGGCCACCGAAGCCATCAAACCCGTCATGGGCCGCCATTACCGCGCCAACACCGAGGGCGGGGCTCTCGGCTTCTTGAAGAGCATGTGGGTCAGCGCTCGCTGGTGCCAGTGGGTCGAGCCATCGGAGGGTGCCGTCGGAGAGGGCAAGGGAGTCTACTTCTACCGGAATCGCAACGGTCTGGGTACCGCACCGCTCAAGCTGGCCCCTGGCGAAACCCTCCAGCAATGAATCATGATGGGAACTGGATGTTGACGACAGATGGAGCGCCAACTCTGCACTGCATTTCTTGCGCGGTCCAACTACTACTTACTGGATGAGAGGTGTTTTTGGCGTTTTAATTCGATGACTCGGCAGCTCCGTCGGCACGGGATGAATGACAAGAAAAGAAACAAAAGGATGAAAGAACGAGTGAGAGCATGAAAGAGAGGGCAAAGCAAACCGCACGAAATCTTTAGACTCGCAGATAGAACTGTGTTGCTCGATTGATAGAACGTGGCCGCGGCGATACCACTAGATCAGGTCATCACTATTAAAATCGTACAAAGAGATCTCAACTCTGCAAGCCCTATATATCTCGTGATTGCCGAACCTATCACGTAAGCGAACTTCAAGAATGTGAACTTTGAGAAATCCCCAAAAGGTCTTTCCATATCCCATACGCCCTTAACCTAAGCCCCAACGCCAAACGCTCCTTGAATTGAAGATGTGAGATCTGAAATCAGGGTAAGGAATAAGGAGCTCAATGCTTGTTTCCAATAGTGGATGGGAACAGCAAACGCAAGAATATGGACCCGGGATACACGTGGGATAAATTAGATTAAATTATCTTCTTATTTGGGTAATAATAGAGATAGGTAGAAATCTATCTGGATATATACACAAGCCATCAATCATGAGATTCATCATAAAAACTAACTGCGCTTTCCACCCCCACGTATATCCAGCTCATCTCTCATACCTAGGTAAAGTCTCCTCACCCGGCATAGTATGATGATGATGAGGATGATGGAAATAGCTCGCTCCATATCCACCCTCCTCCTCATCCTCGGTAAGGATCGGGGCGGAGGGTTCAAGCTGCACTGCAGAAGAACTGCCCTCCCCGGCATTGTCATCCTCCTCGTCGGCGTGGAAGTCGGTCGGGGCGCTCGCTTCGGCCAGGAGGCGGCGACGTTCAAGTTCTTGTTTGTCTTCGGTAGAGCTGGCGTGCGGAGTGAGATCTTCGAGGGCGGGGGCGAAGGGGGAGAGGGCGTCGGGGAATGGACTGCTGGGGGGTGGGGGTTGGGTGGTGGAGGAGACGGGAGGAGGCATTGCGTCCGAGGCGCTGTAGAGATCGTCTTCGTCTGGTATAGAGGGAACGGATGGGGGGATTATGGTTCGGGATGAGGATGGTACGTCGTTGAGGTCTGGAGGCGGTTGGCTTGGGAGGAGCCTTTCTTCAGCGCGGCGAACTCGTTCTTTTTCGTCGAGGCCTTCCTCTTCCTCGAGCTCAGGTGGCGGGACGGGTATCTGGGTATGAGAGGGTGGGGGGTACAGATCGTTGGAAGAGTCGTAGTTTTGCTGATAATTATAGCCGTCGTTCGGGTAGTAATTCGGATATCGGTCTTCGTAACTTTGCTCGTGGTATTGGTGGGGATATTGCTCGACTCCATTATCCTCGGCATCATTTGGCCTAGAGGGCTCCTCGTATATTGGATCGTTTCTTGTGGAAGGGGTCACCGGTACCTCTTCCGGCCAGTCATTGATTTCTCTCCTGACGGAGCGGCTGCCTCTCCCTCGTTTGCGCGCACTATCAGTTGTCCCGACGATGACTTCGAAGAGACAGGCTACAACGCTCTTCTCTCGTCGGACTTGATCTGTATCAACGATGCTTCCACCCCAAGTGGCTAGCATATTCGGCTGCACATCCCCTCTACCTCCACCCGCATTTCCGTAATTCGATGGGTGGGTAACCATGCCTACTCGTGGGAGGTGCCGTTGCTGGCCAGCCAACTTGCCTCCGAGATCAACGACGACCTCCACGTGATACTTGAAACTTATCATATCACCAGGAACGCCACAGATGGTCGGAAACACGTCCTCAGGGACCCTTACAGACGCATTCACTACTGCCGTCAGGGTGGAAGGATCAACAATAATTGGCGCAAACGTTTGGGAAAGGTCCTTTCGAAATAGACTGCTTGACCCGGCAGATGAGAGGGATAACCCTGCAAGTCCTGTCTTCGATTTTGGGTAATATTCATCGTGCTTCATCTTCTCTGCGGCTTTGCCTTTGATATCCACGAACAGAGACAGAGGCGGTGCAGAGTCGATCCGGCCTTGTCTGTAAAGAGTGATGATGATACCGTGCAAGCTTTTGATTGCCTTGGTATGCTTTATAGAGATCTTCAGAGGCAGACTGTCGCCAGGTAGACATCCCGACTTCAGAAGCTCGATGGTGGCGGTTATGGTCTTGTCTGCAAAAGTACTGTTGCTATCACATTGGCTACCCCGTTTCGATTTGGCTGACGATGGCGCAGGACCAAGCCCAAAGCTTGGCTCACTACTACTACTGGTTGTGCTTTCTGTCCCAGTGGCAGCACTGACCGTACTCAGGATATCACTGGGCACCGGGCTTCGACGGTTTACGCTGTGGTCTGTCGACCCACACTGGCTTGCAGACTCGTCTGGGTGAGGCGACGCGGCTGTCCGTTTTGCTTCGGTCCGGGATCCAAGTTCCGAAGATGCGTCCTGGGAGCTGCTCTCCTTGCTCTTGACTGTCCTCCTTCTCCTCATCCGTCTCGATATTGGTTCAAGGGATATTGTCCTAGGCTTTGGTGGGGTCATGGGTCCAATGTCCACCGTCTCAACAAGGGAGAGCTTTTTATCGCAACTTGACGTGGCGGCCATTGATGTTGGGCGTGTGATGGTTGATGTTATCATGTAGGAGATGGTTCCTCGTTCAAACTATTTGATATGGTTAGCTGGAGCTCTTGCGGCAGAGGGGTAGCATGAGGACATGCATCAATACTGGTTGGCAGCCCTTTGCTGGGGAATTCCAGCTCAAAGTTGAAATTGTAGATGCCAGACTCGAGCCGTCCTTCACCACATAACGTAACCTCGTCCTGAAAGAGTGAAACGTATCCGTCGCCAAAGTATTGCACCCTTCTGCGACCAGTCGACGCCCTGTTGACGACATCGACGGGCAGCGGCTCGTTCGCGCCATTGGGATGCTTGAAAATCCGTGCAAATCCGTGAAGGCAGACGGTGAGGTGGGTTACTCGTATGGGCTTGACTACGGTGAGGACCACGGCCCCCTTCACCAAATCTCCGGGCGAGTACTGTCGATAGGGCTCGTCGGGGCGGATATGGAAGTCTGCTAGGTTGCGCGTGCGAGACTTCAGCGGCAATGTGAGTCTCGACAGGAACGAGCGACCGGTCGAGGCAAAGGGCGAAGGCGACGGCGACGACGACGACGTTGGGGTAACATCCGCGCACATGCTTTGCTTTGGGCAGATGGGTGTCGCCAAGAGGCCGGATCAATGAGTGCCAAGTATTTCTTCGGGCCAAGTCCTCCGTACGGTACAGTCAATAATACACGCGCTGCAGGTAAGGTTTATGCCTCTGGTGCACGGAGAGAGGAGGGTCGGGCAGGGCTCCTCGAGGCGCTTCGAGAGAGCGACACGGCGGGGTTTGGTCTGCGTGCAATGAGCGATGAGCCGTAAGTTGACACAGCATTAATAATGATGGTGATAATTGCACTGGATGAATGGGAGGTAGACGAGAGCACTGGCAAAGCGCATACTCCGTAGTCAGTCCCGCCTCGGGCGCCGGGGCTTTAGCATGCTCTTAAGGAACTCGAATACGGGTCGGTCGGTCTAGAGCCCAGAGCGTTGCATCCAGCAAATACACGCCTTGCGAGACAACAGATCCTCCCCTTTCCAGCCCAAGTTTCTCCCATTACGCGGAGTGCGGGGGTCAGTCTACGTATAACGAGCATTACCAAGACCCTACGGAAGACGAGTCTCTCAGAAGATCCACCGCAGCCGTAGATACGCCCCGGAAAATCATCGACAAGGTACCCGGAGTGCATCTGACTGAAGACCAGGGGAGGCGGTCAACTCATCCCAGTGCATATCACAGTGGCATCCAATGCTCCCACATGGCCCTGTAGTAGTAGTAGTAGTAGTAGTAGCACAGTACTGTACGTACCGTAGAAGGGAGGGGGGTGTGATGGGAGTCTGGGACCCTTTATCAGATGAGATCCGATACGATAAAAAAGCTTAGCTTTCCAAGTGGCGCTCATGAACCCGGCGTAGCCGTTAATCCAGATGGTACACTTGAAATTAGAGCCCAGAAACGATCCCGCTGCATCCCTACAACTGACACGTGAAGCATGTTGAGATGGGACGGTTGTTTTTGAGTTGCAATGTATTGCAATGAACGTTAGAGCAAGGTCGAGTATCGTCAACATAGCTGGGAAGAGCCCTGAGGATGTCATCCATAATCTCGTGCCTGCTGCAAATTTTCTATCCTTTCCTTTCCGCCAAACAGCGACGAGCTTCCTCTCTTCCACTAAAGCTCCTTCAGACCTTCTCCAATGACATACTCATCGCCGCACGCGGACTGCATATAACTGGCAGCCTGAGCTCGATCACCGGTTAGATTGACCAGGAAGCTCTCCAAGGACTCGATATTGTCGGTCCATCTGATAGCACTATCCTTCAGCTTCTGCGTGTCCGCTACCTTGCGTAGAACCTCTGCTGGGTTGTTGGCACTGTAGAGAGATAGTTCCTTATCGAGAATGTCCATCTCCTTCAAAAGCGCTTCATGGGTTTCGAAGAGAGCCTTCCTGTCTATTCCACCTCCCTCTAGCATTTCATCGTCCTCCTCCCGCTTCGTCATCTCTTCCTCGATTTGTTTCTCTGTATCAGCAATTGTGGTTACCAGCTTAGTCTCCTCTGATTTCAGATTGTTGAGTATGGCCTCCTTTGATCTCTTTGCGTCCGACCTGAAGCTCCAGTACCAGTTGCCGCTGCCGATCTTCTCGACTCGAATTTGGTTCTCATCCTGGAGAGCTTGAAGGTAGTCCTTGACTTGCATTCCATTGATTGATCCGACTGAAGGGAGTAGCTTCTCAAGTTCCTTGAAGGAGTAGACTCCCATCGATTCTCGGAACCACTCCACGATCTTGGCCTGCTTGGCGGCTGGAGGTTGATTTTTGGGTGCCTAGAAGGCCATTAGTATCTCGAACGCGCCTTTGTCATCAATTAATTGAAGTTACTACCATTGATTCTGGGTGTTTCCTTGCACTCTGACCCCAATGATGTGCGATGGTTGTGTGTGCTGGGTGTGGGTGCTGGTCAATTGTCAGTACAGGCAAAAACCAAGAAACGAGCGAGAGATAGGATTTCTCTCACCTCGTGTTCCAAGTCACCACCCACTACTACAGACAAGTCACAATGTTGGGAAGGCTACGACATTTTGTTTACCTGATGCATTCTAGGTTATGCCTCGCATTAATCGTTTACTACAACCCTCGTGTGAAAATCGCTTTCACTGAATCCCTCGCAGTCTCCGCTAGGATAGTTTCATTGCAGAGCTCCATTGCCTTGTTAAGACAAAAGAAAGTCTATTACGACTACATCTCTCTTCCCGCCGGTCGTTCTCTCCGTCCTTGTAAATACTGACAAGACGTTCGATGTCTCTAATCTCTGCACATCAACTAAAGGCTCGCCACCGAAACCATAGCTTATCCAGATCGTCTCAAACTTGGAATGATCATCTTTTGCATGCCCTTTTACGATGCTTAAGCTAGAGTCAGAGTTACCGGGAAGAATGAGGTAGATGTTGTTATTTCGATCAACACACATACTTGCTCGAGAACCTGTCTCCGTGGGCTTCGAGGCACTAGTAATGCCAATCATCGACCATTCGCCTTGGGAAGTCAGCACCAGAACCCCCAAGTGAGGTGATCATACCATTTGGCTTGCGGCGATATAACATCCAACTCTCCTCGCCGCTTCTATTTTCTCGATTCAGGGCCCAAAAACCACCTAACCAGTCTGCCGATTGTGCTTCTTGGTTCAATATCCCACTTCCCATCGGTATCTCAAAGACTTGGGCGCCTTCAGCACCTGGTTTAATCATGGCTTCCATTTGGCTCTCCAATTTGCTTCCAATTTTGGCTAGTACACGGTTATCAGCGCTCTTCCAGGTCTCTCCAAGGTCATCGGAGAAGGCATAATTGAGATCGTAGTTGTTCTCTGGCCCGTTGGGTCCTGCTTGCTGCTTGTGCGCATCCGGTGTGGCCAAGGGAGGAAACGGGATGAAATTGCGGTAGCACCAGGAGATATGAAGTCGAGAGTTGCGATAGTCGATCCCATTGATGTAAGGACTATTCGATACTCCGGTCAGATGTTGGCCTAGGTAAGTGTAACTGTGTGTAGCTGATGAGTAGCGATAGAGCACGTCCGATCCTAGGCCTGCTTGACCAATGCGGTACGTGAGGAGAAGATCATCGTCAATGTTCACGAAACGTGGATATGTCACCTCTTTCATGAGTTCGTTTGGGGAAATACCAGGTAGGAAGTCTTGTGTCTGCGAGAAAAGAGAGGCATTCCATCTATGATCTGCTGACTCTGCTGCTGCCCCAAGTTCCGATATTCTAAATCTCAATCTAGTTCCTTCAGTGGACGCACCTCGTACGTTGGAGCGTGATACTCACTTGTCACAGTGGTGGTCAAAAGCTATATGGATGGACCCGTCCCCTTTACAAACTCCAATAGAAATTGTATTGTGACCATCGTCAACAGTCTGGTCATAATCTTCAAAGGTCAGTGTCTGCCATGCTCCGGTTGTGCTTGATGTATCAGGTGGCAGAATTTTGCGTCGAGCTAGGTTGACATGACATATACCAGTCTTCTCGGGTTTCAAAGCCTCTGTATAAAATGCAGCGTACTGCCATCCATTTACAGTTGTGATCGGGTTCTGTTGGAAAGAGTTGGCATTGATCCTATGTGCCCTATCTGGATCCTGACCCAGGACAGAAATGACCACGTCTTGAAGCATTATGAGAAATGATTCTTCTATGATGCACAGGATATTGAGGAGGAATTTTCAGGAAGACGACCGACCTTGGCCAGCATGCGACTGGGTTAAATCTGCCATGGTGGTCAATCGCCCGGCCACAAAATGCCCATCTCCTTGGAAACTTTACCATATCCCAGGCATATCTGGGGTTGTTTATCCACCTATCCTGTTGCCGTCCTGACCTTCCCAATAATTCGGCTTATCATCCCCCGAAGTCGCGGACCCTTCACGTCAAGGGGTTAAAAGCAAGACCTCCAATCATTGTCCGACTCGCCAAGAACATGTTGAAACGGGTCCGGGGAAGCTTCTGACCCCGCATATCTAATGGCCAACTGCCGGACAAATATATACATTCATGCGAGCATGAAGAGTGAGTATATATTTCGCCCCAATGTCTCCAACTCGTTTGCAATTGTTTTCTCCCATATATTGCTGCGCTGACCTTAATTCATGATGCTTTTCATGAAGAATGCTAAGGTAGACAGGACAATTGTCGCTGAAGCGTCTCATCTCAACAACAAGCATGGACCTTGGTGGCATGATCGAGGATTAAGGACCCTAAATTCTCTGATCTTTATCCCTTTGATGAGCGAGTATGTCCAAGGGTATGATTCAAGCCTCATCAACAATGTTCAGCAGCTGTCAGTGTGGCAGAAAGGTACGTAGAAGAGAGCTTCAACTTCTTTGAGTGAAGCTATTGTGGTTACTAATATCTGTACAGAATTTCATCATCCCTCAGGATCGCTCTTAGGGATCCTCAGCGCAAGCTACTGGGTTGGCAATGTCTTGGGTGTCTTCGTAATCACCCCGTTGTCAGATCGCTGGGGTAGGAGAATGGCCATGTTTTTTGGAAGCATTGTTGCTATCATTGGAACCGCGCTCTGCAGCGGAGCTGTTGAAGGTAAATTTGAAAGAGGTTTTTGGTTTGCATTTCTGACATATGATAAGCTGGTATGTTTATCACAGGCCGGCTGCTGCTGGGAATTGGTGGTGTCGTCGTTGGTGCCATTGGACCGGTAAGGCAGAAGCATAAGAAGAGGGTTCTAAGGCTGAAGAGAATAGGTACTGGTGGCCGAACTGGCGTATCCAAGTATGTCAAATTGCTGCTACAGCAAGAGTGAAGGGCTGATCAAAGTTCTTACAGGTCAAAGATCAACTGCAACTGCCCTTTCCAATACCCAATATAGCATGGGTTCCATTGTAGCTGCCTGGATTACATTTGGTAATTATAATGCCTGTTCTCTATACAAGGTTAAAGTGCTAATCTCTTTGAAGGAACATTTCGGATCAATGGGACTTGGTATGATCAATTCTCGCACAATAAGTGCCTCACTGATGAAGGACAATCAGGTCATGGCGAATTCCGTCGATCTTTCAGGCTCTCCCATCGGTGCTACAGGCCATCGGAATCTTCTTCCTTCCAGAATCTCCGAGATGGCTCGTGAGTAAAGGACGGGAGGAGGCCGCCCTCGATGTGCTCGCTCATTACCACGCCAATGGAGACCGAGAAGATGAAGTTGTGCAATTCGAGTTCCGGGAGATCGTAGGAACCATTGAATTAGAAATTGCGGCAAGGCAGACAAAATGGAGTGAACTGTGGAGGACTCCAGGAAACAAATGGAGGATATTTATTATGATTGTAAGGAATCCCTTGAAGTGAACTGGGACTCTTGCAGACTGATCCGGATTGAGCCTTCTCTATCATAGATAGACATTTACTAACGTTTTGCTCTTATAGTGGTTTGGGATATGCAAACAATGGTCTGGGAATGGAGTGGTCAGCTACTATCTCCACACTGTATGTCCTCCCCACGTCGCACTTCCCACCATCGGTATCAGGGCTCTAACAACAAGTAGATGCTCGACGACGTTGGAATCACCTCAACGTTCCACCAGACCCTGATCACAGCGACATCTTCAATGTTCTCCTTTGCTTGTTCCGTCGCATTTGCCTTCCTCCCAGCTCGGGTGGGGCGTAGACCCCTCCTATTATGGTCCATGGCACTCATGTGGCTTGTCTTCACTCTCATCACAATCCTCACCGGCGTCTTCACGTATACAAAATCGAAACCCGCCTCATATGCTTCCGTTGCATTCATCTACCTCTACAGCGGAGTTCACAACCTCGGCTGGACCGGAGCCATGATGGTTTACGTGGTTGAAATTCTTCCCTATGCTATGCGTGCCAAAGCCATCTCCCTCTTCTGGCTCATCACGGGGCTAGCGGGTGCTTTCAATACGTACGTGAATCCTCTAGGGTTCAAGGCGTTTGGCTGGAAGTTCTACTTTTTCTATGTAGCTTGGATTGCGGTTGAGTTCGTGGTGGTTTATTGGGCGTGTCCCGAGACCATGGGTACCAGTCTTGAAGACGTGGCCTTGATACTCGAGGGCTCCAAGGCGACAGTTAGTAAGATCAACCCAGTGACCGAGGCCTTGGCGGAAAAGGATAGGCCTGTAACAGGGGCTGTGGAACATGTGGAAAAGATTGGATAAGTACAAGATACTAGAATTTTAGCTGTTGGTGGTATAGGCATAATCCATAGTATACAATTGTTTCCTTGGATGCATACTTGTTATAATGTCCCATCGAGTCAACGCCACCTAGATAGCAGTCCCTGCTTATTTCCCGAAATCACACAGCGCAGGTCAGCAAGCCGTTCAGCCCTGATAGAAGAACCATAAAACCCCGCGATGGGGGGATAGGAAGCTCTTAGACGAAGGCCGTGCAATCTAACTGCCCAATTGAGAATGTCAGGTCTTCTGACAACAATGTATGAGAGGAAGTCGTAGAGTACTTGTCCTTGGGTATGAAGCGTCCTCAATGAACAATACCTCGAACTAACCTCGAGCTGGGAGTGAGCCTAGTTAAGTTTTGGCACTCACCATCTTGCAATCAAATGGGATCGTGCCCGGAACCCAACTAAATGGAAAGTTTTCGCACCTCGAGATAAAGGAGCCTTTTCATTATATTATTATAATCACACATAAGGTTAGCTATAGCGACAAGAACTATGAAGCAAGTCTCTAGCAAGTATCCGCAATGCTCCCGCTTATACGCTGCACAAACGCCGCCACCTTCCTAACCTGTCCGAAGAGCCTAACCTGCCCCAATTCAAAACGGAGATGATTGTTTGCTTTTAGTATCGCCGCTGATACGATCCTCTTCGATCGAGCCCTCTTTCTTGGTATTGTCCTCGTGGAAATCAGCAAGACCAGCAGTCTGGCTTGAATCCTCAAGTTCCTCGTCCGCCATCTCGCTGTCCTCAATAGCTTTTGCTATCTCGGCCCTCATTAGCCGTTCCCATTTCGGCATCATCTGTCCTTCCACTCGAGTCCCAGATATAACTTCTGTGTAATCGCGGGACATGTTTGTAAAAACTTCGTCGGCCTTGCTGGCCATCGACTTTGCCACCTGTAGAACAAGTCAGGCACGGAATTTTGTAATGGTCATCGCGAAAGATCCAAAGAGGTTGGAATAATTGAACATATCTTGGTCTCTGGAGATATGGCATCTAGGAAACAGGTGCTTGAAACATACCTGTCCACACATGTCGATGAGCCTCTTTTTGACTTCCTCGCAACTTTCAGCGAACATGTCCAGGTTTGAACTGACGTGGGATGTCATATGCTCTTTCATTCTCATGAATTGACCTAAATGAGCCGTCAGCAAATTACTATGAGGGTCTAACATCTTGACTTACCGCCACCGACTTCCGCGGCACACCATTCGTAAGCTGATGCTAGTTTGCTAGCGATGACCGGAGTGAACTCTCGATTTGCGTCTCGCTGAAGCGTATTGATCACCTCAATCATCTGTGCAGTGAAATTTGCGAAAATAGCCTCATAATTACGAAGCTGCTGGCCCAACATCGCTAACCCAGCAGTCCCAACTCCTTGTTTCATACTCCGAGCTTCAATTTCCTGATGGAATGCTGTCAAAAGGCCCTTAGATTTTCGAGTAAAGCTTTGTAACACGCCTGGGAGCCTTCTAGCAAATGCCTTCTCCCAGTGGCCAGCAAGATGCTTGATAATGGGCTCACATAATTGCAAGTTGAGGTCATGGGACCCTACAGCATTAGTAAAGATCCCATTGCGACGGCATAGAGCTTCAAATGAGTTAGCTTTGATCTCGATACATACGGCAGAACAGCTGTTACCTTTGTAGGTCGCCCAGTAGAACCCGCCAGCCTCACGATTTTCCTGCACGATCTTCAGCAAGCAATCATGAAAAGGGGAGTCAAAGCCCACCTACCTTGTTCACCGGAGCACCCCATTTTCGCGCGGTCGGCAATGCTTGAGCAGCGGCTTGTTGGATGACATCCCCAAAATTCTCGAAAATATTTTCTGCCAAGGCTTCATTCATGTCTGACAAACAGTCTTTAACAGCTTTATCCAAAGACGCCTCGAGTTTCTGTAGTCTCGACTTGAGGAAGCGTGTCTCAGCAGTCCTCTGTGCATCTGATATCATTATTCCCGTACCGTCGTTAGAAGCCCAGAGACTCAATGAGTTCATTAGCTGAGAAAAATTGGTCAGGAAGCGTCGACAGTTCGATGTCCTGACACCTTCCGTTAAGTGTTTGCAATGCTGTTGTAGTTGTGGGATCTCCGTCTCCTCGAGAGATCGGAACCCAGGAACAGCAGAATCGCGCTGCAACCGCCCAGACATCTGCTGGTAAGCACGAGCGCTGCAACAGAAAACCTGGAGAATCTCACCGTCAGCATAACTCGATCAGAAATAGTTAACGATAAGGTCTCAAGACAAGACTTTATTTGTAACACCGTGTCTACTTTGACGGCATTTGCTTGAGAGGACCATAAGTATCGAGATGCAAAGCATCAATTGCCTGTATATTCCAGTAACTGGTCATGGTTGAGAGCAGATATTCCTCTTACCCTATCCCGATCCAATCGATTCCCAAGGTAGGTTACCTTGATGATTGAAAGTTGGACATGGTAAGGAGGCCGCTTCTCAACTGCTTCGAAAATCCAGGGAATTTATATGATATAATTCCAGTTTTGTGGGTAAAACATAAGATGTGTTATTGGAGAATTGTACATACCGGGAGCGATCGGGCAACTTCTTCATAATCTCTGATGTCCTCTTCGGGATTGAAATTGGTTTCGTCTTGTTCCTGGGCGTTTTCTTGGTCGAGCTCCTTGATGCCGGCGGCAAAGTCGGTTTGGATTGCGCCTTTAGAGTAATCATTTCTGCCCTTAATGCAGATAGCACTTATGGCCCTCTCGATTGCGTCTTTCTCTTTATCCAAAGCATCAATTTCCTCGTTCAGGGTTTTGGACTTTGCATCTAAACTGGAGCGTTCTTTTCGAGCACGCTTTTTGTCCTCCTTAAGTTGAGAAAGCTTTTCTTCGATGGCCTCCATTGTCAACGGATCGCCTTTCTCTGGTTCGGGGTCACTCTCTGCTTCAGAGGCCTCTGAATCGTGCTCTTCATCTTCCAGATCACTGCCGTCATTTGAATCATCACCGTCAGCAATTGAGCGCTTGCTTTTCTTTGCCCGTTGACCGGGTTCCGCTGAACGCTTCCTCTTTTTGGATTTGTCGGAAGGTGGCCAAACCTCCTTTCCATCCTCTAAATCATCCTTCAACGACTCCCACTTCTCAATTTCGTCATCAGCATCATTCACTAACTCAGAATATAGGCCTCTCGAATCTCTTAGCTCCTTTAATGACTTCTTCAAGCCCCGTATCTTCCCATCGATGTCATCAATCTTTGCCCAATCTTCGGACATCTGCTCTTCAAGATTGAGACTGTTAGATGCCTCCATTATAGAGATATCATCTGTTTTCGAACAGATGAACGTAACACGCGAGTAGATGCCGTCATACTTCAGTTGACGTTTAAAGGATTCGCCAAGTAAAGATTTTGCGGCCTTGTCACTATCCATGGAGTTAGTGTCGTAGTTAACTAACGGAAAGCTTACGGGAATTTGAGTGTATGCTCCTTGGGCACCAGACAATATGCCAAGAAAACTCTAGTGAGATATGCCTCCGTTTGATCTTTGCGATTATCAAAACCAGTTGTCAAAACAGGTTTGAGAATTGAAACTGGATTCGAGCCTGAGGAATTGTCAAGCACCCGATATCCAAGTTCAATAACTAGAATGTTTCGGCAGTTGCAATAGATTTAATGTGCCTTCTTCTTGGACTAAGTCGACCCAAGCAACTCATAGTTCGAAACAAAAAACAAGGGAAGCGACTCTGGGAATACGTACTCAACTGCCCTGGTTATCGGGGCAACAATCCATAGTCCTTCCAAAAATGTTAATTTGTGTGCTATAGGGTGTAGAGACAGCTTTGCCTACCTGTACACTGCTTCATATATCCTGCAGCCACCGCAGCTCTGGCTGCATTCGAATCATGGACACCCGGGAGATCGACAATTACCGCGCCAGTAGATAAAACATCGGCCTTGGTGTAAATCCGGACGACCTTGATCAGGGGCCAAAATTCCATGGATTTCTTCTCCCCTGTTTCCTTTTTTTTCTGCCCTGTCGTCTTCTCCTTGCTGTCGACATAGTGTTGCAACGCACGATAAAATGGCTCTGGACGCGCCTTTTCAATCTTTCTAGTCTCACCAAGGAGTTCTCTGACCCCTGGCTCATTCATAAGTTGCTCGACAGTGCTGCTCGCTAGCATTTTATTTGTCTTGTTTGGGTATACTAGAAGCCATCAACATCTAGCCGACATTTTAGGACCTGACAGTGTCGGGAAAAACAGCTGATCCAGGGACAGACGCCTAAGCTATCACAATTCTCAGACGCTTTTGACCATTTAACTTAGCTTTGGGAAGCTAGTGCCCTCCGATTAACCGCGATACTGATTGGATTGGTAAAAGCGTTTTGAGAATGGTATACATCCAGTCATCTTGAATATATCTCAAGCTTGTTTTGCCCAACACTGTCTATGAGTTGAAGGGAATGGCTTACCAGCTTTGATCTTGGCATACGCGACGCCAGCTTCAGAGTCAGGATTGTGACATTCTTTCGACACCTATGATATCTCAGTAAATTCTATTTTGGAAACACCGGGAACCATACCTGGCCAGACGAATCAATGAGCTCAGTTAACGATAGACGGAGGTCCTTCTCCCAATCGGAAGCTTGAATGAACTCAATATCTGCGCGATATTTGGCGTTTTCGTCGTCGCTTGTGTTCCAGGACATCTCGGTCACAACCGCAGTACATGCTCGCATGCTGGGTTCATTAGAGAAGGTATAAAAAATAAAGGTGTTGACAAGGTCATACCAATTTGTAGGCACCAAGCGCTCCTCCTCAAGAATGGCGTTTATCACGCTGCTTTTACCTGCTCCCGTGTTTCCAACGACGCCAATGATGGTCGGAGTATCGATTTTCTCATTTCTCAAGGTCTCTGCGGACTTACTGTTAAAACAAAATCATAGCGCAGGATTGACGCACCTACCGATCTGTTGCAAAAAGGACCGCACATCACTTTGCTCAGTTGCGCCTGCTAATTTGATCTTCAGGTTGTCTAGGAGGGATTGGTTCTTCCTGACTTCGGCTTCAAGACGCTCTGGGAATCCCTCTTCAATGATCTTCTGAAGACGTGTGAATCGCGAAGCATGGGTTGGCATTGATGATATAGTAGAAGGCTCTATGTCACCCATCGGTAAGTCCCTAAGGGAATTCTCTGGCTCCACGGAAGTATGGGCATTGAGACGCTCTATCTCTGGGGTCGGAGAGGAAATGGCTCCTGGATAAAAATGGGAATTTCCCGGGGCTATTTTCATGAGGAACTGTCAGTTATAGATATCATACAGAAGCAGCGACCGGCAGATCCATACCGAATCCAGCAACCCCAGGTCCTATAGGCTGACTACGTTGATGTTCGTGTGGTGATTGAAAGAAATTTGAGTTGAGAACAGCATTTTCGTCCTTGATCTTGATTGGCATTGGATCAGGTGGTACTGATGCAACCAGTCCAGCAGCGAAACGCGCGTTCTGAACTTGAAGGTAAGAACCTCGTAAAGAAGATAGGGACGGGGCTTCAATCTTTGGCTCCGACTTGATAGCTGCCGGAACATTATGCAGTTGAGAATTCAGTGACTTGAATGGGGTCCTGGCCAGACTTTCAGGGCGCGAAGAAGACGATAATGAAGTCATGGTGGCTGCTTCATGGGCGATGAACACAACTAGATTATCTCCCAAAAGATTTAGGGAACGGATCTGGAGCTCATCGGGAACATGATGGCCTGCAAATCTAAAGACAGCCTCAATCCCAACCCTCTTCTTGTACCCTGCCCTTAATTTGGCGATTGAATGTTTCTACAACTGTTAGCCCTTCTACTCGATTTATATGGCTGGATGATTCCTCGCCTCCTTGACCTTAAACCACAAGAAGTTCTCAGCAGAAAGACTTTTGCCATGTTGGAGGACTGCGACAGCAATTCCATCTTCGAAATTGCCTACCGGCTTATTCTCTGCTACTATACGATGGACGTCTTTGTAGACATCATCAATCTGGAAGAGGCTGAACGGGGAACGAGCCGCCATTGGCGAAGAACGCGCGGAGGAAGTTCCTGGATCGTCTGCAATGGAGGCTTAGAGACGAATTGACAGACGATGTCTATGAATGGATCCTGGGTCCCATAAAGGCCACAGAAAAAGCACTTTGATGGGTAGATTGGGAAACTAGAGGGGTAGAAAAATCCCGGTCGAATGAGGTTGATGATCGACCGAGTCGCGTCGGGCTACCTTACCTTAGGTTAGACGCGTCAAGAAGTTCTGGCGCGAAATTGGAAAATAGCCTTCTCACGTGACAACGCATTTCCTGCGATTTGCTGCCTCAGGTATATTCTTATCTTACCTACCGTACCTTACCTTATAGGTACTTGAACCTCTTGGAAGGTACTTTACTTTTAATTTTACCATCGCCATTCAACATGAGGTATTGTTTTGTGAATCAGCCCATAAGTTTCTCGCTTCCGACTCGAGGCATCGCTATTAGTATCTTGATATTAGGAACTATCTCTTTCAGTCATCTAATTCATGTCCAAAATCAATAAGCCGCAGTTTCCTGGCATCCCTTGGATGAAACTGCGCGACTTTCGATCTCACGAGAAACCTTGCTGCAGCAGATTCCCTTGCGAGCTCCACATACGACCCTGAGCCGCCTTCTCCAGCCTCAACAAGACTATTTAGGAGTTGCTCCGTCAATTCGCGCATTTCTGCAGCCGCTGCTCGTTGCTCATTCCACGGTTCTTGGGGTTGAGCGTCCTGGAGAGGTCTTGTTCCCCAAATTTGATCAATTCGACGTTGGCGCTTGTCCTCGTTCACACTGCCCTTGACCTTCCTCGCTTTTCCTTGCGTACTGAATCCGGCTTCCAGCATTGACTGATCGACATCCACCATTTCTCCAACTATAGGACCCCCTAGCTCTTCGGCCGCAAGCATAGCTGCCAAATGTCCGTCTATAAATCCATTGAATGCCCTAATCAGTTTCTTAGTCTCAGCATCGTAATAAGCCTTTTTCTTCTCCATCTCAAGTATCATAGCCTTGGCTACTTGACGTGGTGGTTTTTGTGCGCGCTCCTCTATCTGCCCTTTCAGCGACGATATTCGGGTCTGCAGCCCGGCCTGGACCAGTTTCGCATCTTTAAGATCCGCTTGCTCTTTTTCCAGTCTCTTCTGGATCTCCTGGAGTTCGACTTCGGTCTGAGAGATACAGTCCCGCGTCTCCTTGATGCACTTGTCTGTATTACGAAGAGCCAGAAGGCCTGGAATTGGAGATTCTGGAGATGGGAGGTATGGATCTGTCGGTGTAAGAGTCTCATAGGTAGCCTTGAGGGCGCGTAATTGCTGTAGGTGAGATGTAGGGTCGTCAGATGGCACAGTATCTATTGAGGTTGTGGACGCACGAAGCTGGGCACTCATTAGACCGTGAATTCTAGAATTCAGATTCATTGACTCTCACCTTCTCCAGGACAGCTTCTTGCTCTTTGACTCTGTCTTGTAACTTTCTCAGAGTCCGGTCAAGACGAGCTGTGTAAGAAGCGGTAGCGCGTGACATCTGGGTGTCTTCCATAGTTTTTGCCGGTTCAAGCTTGGTAAGGTCCAAAATTAAGAGCTACCATATGGTTCCCTGGTCCGAGACGTGAATTCAAAGCATGTACAAGGCGTATCGTTCGATTTTGCAAAGTACCTCGCAATCCAATTGTTCTCTGCGGAGGGGGACGCGACTCATTAGCGCGGCGCTTGAGCCTCGCCTCGCTTGTTGAACCGCAAAGCTCTCGTCACCCATTTCATCAATCCCAGTTCCTCTAACGTTCTCCTTCTAACGTCGACAACCTTTCCTCCTCATCGTTCCCTCAATCCTAACTCCCCTATAATCCATCCTTCTCACTTTCATACGAACTCTATCGCGTCCAGCCCCTTCACATCACCACTTCACCATTCGACTCCATCTCAGGCGTCAAACCCGAAACACAACCCCCAAACAAGCAAGCAAGCAATCGGCCGACGTCAAGGCAACAGGCGTAGCAAGAGACAACGACAAGTCTGGTCGTTGGCGGACCTCAAAGGTTTGACGATAGGTCTCTAATACTGCTTTTCTCCCAGAGGGGTTTCAATCAGCCACTTCACGTCATACATTCCATCCATCGCCCTCAACCTCACTCTCTCACCTGCCCAAATCTGCAGATCACTTCTCAAGACCTATCTTCTGTGTCTTGGCAACAGCTGCTTGCCTCCCTCTTCACGACATCCATTCTCTTCTCAACAATCCCCGTTCAAGCACACGCTCTCCTCCCCTCATCCGATCACCAACACCAACACGTTTTCTTTCGAAGACCCCTGGTGTACATAACGATCAATCAATACTTGTTCTCGACCTCCTCATCCTCCTCCCCGACCGCTTTTCCAGCTTAAGTGAAGAGATTAACCCATAGAAGCGAAGCATCATGTCTGCCTCACCAACAACAGCACCGACACAATCGACGAAGCGCCCTCTCGAAGACCCTTCATCCCCATCCACTCCTAACGATCAGCCTGAAGCCAAGCGCCCTGCCCTCGACAAGGTCGTGAAGGGGGATGATGCAGAACAGAAACCAATTGAGGAAAGCGCTGCATTGCCCGTTGTCGGATCCAATGGCGATGTCAAGACTGAATCCACTAATGGTACCAAGCCCGAGGCGAAGGATGAGCAAGGCGATACATTAGTCACGGATGCCCCCGCTGGTCGTGAAGGGATACAAACGATTGGCAGCACTGGAACTTCAACTCGAGGTCCAAATACTTCCGGTTCTACACTTCAGCATGACGAAAGCGGGTGGATTCATATTCGTGCGGTTATCACAAGTGCGGAAGCAGCTACAGTCATTGGCAAGGGGGGCGAGAACGTATCACTGATCCGTAAGATGTCTGGTGCGAAGTGCACAGTAAGCGATTACCAAAAGGGTGCCGTTGAGAGGATCCTTACAGTCAGCGGTGTAGTTGATGCAGCAGCAAAGGTATGTAGAATATGCGGACCTGCTTTCTCGCAAGAATCTAACTTTTCTGCACCAGGCATTCGGCCTTATTATCCGGACTCTCAACAATGAGCCACTTGAGGCCCCTTCCACCCCTCAATCGAAGACATACCCTCTCCGGCTTCTTATTCCTCACATCTTGATTGGTTCGATCATTGGTAAAGGCGGCGTCAGAATTCGGGAAATCCAAGAAGCCTCAGGTGCTCGTCTCAACGCTTCAGATTCATGCCTTCCCCTCTCCACCGAACGCTCACTTGTCGTGCTTGGTGTTGCTGATGCCGTTCACATCGCAACCTACTATGTTGGTAGCACGCTCTTTGAGCAGCTTTCGGAAAGGTTTGGAGGGCCGGCAGCATCTGCTTATGCTTCCCGAAGCGGCGGTCCGGCTGGAGTAGTCCCTGGAGGAATGCAGGTAGTACCGTACGTACCCCAGCCAGCTGGTGGTAATTATGGCCACCCTGATCATCACCGTCGCATCGACCGTGGGCACCACACCCCTGGCAACGCTTACGGCCATCCTTATGCTCAAGGTCAGGTTCCGCAGCAACAGCCTGCCGTGCCAATGCACTACGGTGGCTCGCCCGTTGTTGCGGGCTACGGAGGTGTTGGGCCACAACAACCACAAGCAGCTGGCCACGCTGGTCCTCAAGCGCACGGTGGTCCACCAGTCCAACCGATGCAAGGCATCGTCCCTGGTCAGCCGTTGACCCAGCAGATCTTCATCCCAAACGATATGGTCGGAGCCATCATTGGCAAGGGTGGTGCAAAGATCAACGAGATCAGACAGCTCAGTGGCAGTGTGATCAAGATCAACGAGCCACAGGACAACAGCAACGAAAGATTGGTCACCATTACTGGCACCGCCGAATGCAACCAAATGGCGCTCTATATGCTATACTCTCGACTTGGTCAGCAATCCACCTTCCCCTAAGATCATGGAGAACGGAACTAATAGAATCCTACAGAGAGCGAAAAGCACCGTATCTGAAACGATCTATACTTAATTACGCGCCTCTCCTACTTCTTTGCTATTGGCTTTCTAACGGCGTATTTGGGTGCGGGATGGGGAATCAAAATGGATGAAGGAGCTTGCTCATGCTCTCTTGCTGCTTTCTCGCAATTGCGTGTGTATCCATCATAGGCTTTATAATGATATACATCGGGATCCCGGTTTCTACTTTGCTAAGAAGCTACCTACCCCTGGGTAGCGGTCCTGGTAGCGGTCCTACTTCACTCACTTTAATGAGCGTGCATACTGACGTGACTTCGTAAATCCGCTATGGGTGAAAGACTCGATTCACACCTTGTGCATAGGTACTAATAAAAAAGTGATGAAGATAGCCCCCGTCAAAGCAGCAACATATTTTCAGAACAACCCGCACACTCCCCAGGAATCAGGAGAATAAACACGATATATATATGATACACAGTAAATCCATCCAATAAATTCCAGAATGGCTTCCTCAAATACGGAATATTTCACTCTTTTTGCCTACGGCATGTAGATAGATTTTAAAGATCCAGAAAAGCTAGAGAATAGAGAGTATGTGTATAAATTAGATTTATAGGTTGATGCGTTGAAGTGTGGAAGTGTTAAGGAGAGGTCGATGGAAAGGAAGGGGAGAAAGGAAGGGATGGAGGTGGAAGGTACGAGGAAAGCGTGGTGGGTGGGTTAGTTTGGAGGAGGGGGGAAGAAAAGAGATTTGATAAGAGAATGGAAGATGGGGGCGTGAAGATAGATAGGTAGGAATGTGTGTGGGTGGGATAAGGTATATAGCGATGAGAAAGATAGGGAAGGTCTACTGTGGAATGGGTAGATGTTGTTCACTTTGATCACATTATGAAGACGCCTTTGGAAATCTTTTTCAAATCAACATTTTTATTGAGTTATTAACACTAAGGTTTATGATCATTATACATCAACAATAAACTCAAAGCGATCCATTTCCTCCATGTACAAGCAGCAAAACCTTAGAACATTATCCACCAACCATTCATCAGTCGTAAAGAATTTCGATCGTGTTGTGTCGGGTTGTAAGCAGAGAGACATATTTAGCTGATGGTGATCTTGCGCCTCTCCTGCTTCCTGGCCTTGGGGACGATGATGCTTAGGATGCCATTCTTCATGGAAGCGCGGACCTGGTCCTGGTCGATGCGCTCAGGGAAGCTGAATGATCGTGAGAACTCGCCGACGCTGCGCTCAGAGACCCAGTATTTGGCTTCAGGCTCCTTGGGCTCGGCTTTTTTAGTGACTTGGGCTTCGGACTTGTCGTCTTCGACGGTAGCCTGTTGAGCCTTGCCGCCTGTGGTACCCTCCGGGAGGGCCCCTCTGGCCTTGGGTTCTTCAATCACGCCGGGTGGTGGAGTGCCGGAAGTGTAGGAGCGTTCGCTCCGGCCGCGGACGGTCAAAGTGGATGCATCGGTGAACTCGATATCGACATCCTTCTGTTCTATGCCAGGCAGCTCGCCATGTAGTTCGTAAGCGTCGGGGACTTCCTTAACATCAAACTTGGGCGAGAAAGTCCTGACGGTGCTCCGCTGGAGTGGTCGGTTTGCGGAGGATTGATAGTCCCCGTACTCATCAAGTAGACGGAAGAGAGGAGTGAAAGTGGAGTAGTCGGGGTCAGAGATGAAGCCTCTTGGGAAGAACGACATTTTGCGTAGAGGTGTTGTGATAAGAGCACGTTTGGTAATTGGTGATGCTCGAGTGAGTGTTCGTGAGAGTGTTCGCGATAATTGCATGAAGGTTTATCTGACTTCTGATTGATGAAGAAAGAGGATGGTCCAGAGAAGCTCAGCGCGTTTATATACTTCATGATCCAATTCCAGAGATTTCTGGCAATTGCGGGAAGACGACATGTCAGGAGACTCTTGCTTCATCTCATCTCCCTCAGCGGGAAGGACGAGGCGACCAGCCATTTCCAGCGATTTCTTGAGGCAACCACTTGATTCTGACACCACCTAGCATCTTCATCATCTTCTTGGATCATAATCACGATAGAAAGGAGCGGGGTTGACCAGCAAATTCGAGATGACGCGACGAAATTCGAAGAATGATCCAGAAGGTTCCACGAGCGCAAGAAAACAAGCACAACTGGGACGAAGAGGTTCATACACGTGCATGGCCTTACCTTCTCGTGCGAACTCGCAAGATACACATCCATGGAATGCTCATGCTCATGCTTCTACAATGTTCGATGATTGAAAGGCTGGTGTTGTTACTCGTGAAGGTCATGTGAGAAGTCTGATATCTTTACACTTTTGGCTTAGTGTAATCCTACCACAAACCTTACCCAAACGGGACTTTCACCCGAGTTCCACCGGAAAAGCGAAAAGCGGGCCATACGACGAAGAGCGCACAGCCACAGCCACTAACCAACTGTGGCTTGCGCCCTATCTCAATTTCAACATCAATCGTCAGATTGATGTTTAGCACTTTGCCACCCGGAGGTCGCTCCGCGCCTGTATCCTTGACTGACCGTTTGAGATGCCGTCAGCTTGCCCGCAATGAGTGGCCATCCGGCACCTTGTTGCCGTGTTTGTTGCTCCGCGGGACTTTCTTTCTTCCTGAAGTTCTTGGCAGATTGCAAAATGATGACTGAGGCTAGGCAGGAGGGATATACAGTATACTAGAGTGGCAACAACTTCCCCACAATACCTTGTACCTTTTGGCTTTGGCCGACGGACTTTACTTAGGTGGAAACTTGGTGACCCTCACTTACCGTAGTACGGTGCTTCCCAAGACTCAATTCATGCTAGAGGGAACTTGCCAGAGAGTTTACACAGAAAAGTTTAAATTGTCATATATGTTGAGAAATTACAGACTGCCGTGTACAAGATGATATAGCACTCCCAAGGCTATGCTGATGCAAGATACATTCCAACCGAGTCTTCTATCTTCCCTTCGTATATCGTAGACGCCATCTCTTCATGATCATAGAACTCATTATCTAGAAAAGTATGCTGCAAAGAGCTATCCCACTTGAAGATAAATGAAATCCCATAGCAATGGCCAGCAATGTCAGGATCCCGTAGCATTATTCCTTATCCACTGCTCGAAATAGTTGCCGAAACCCGCCTGCCTCTGAAGATATGAGGCTTATTGAAAGGGACGCATAGGCGGATATCCAGCCAGAGGAGTTAGCATGCCTTGCATCTGAGATACAGGCTGCGCAACAGCACTTGGGATCCGATGAAAGAGACCTATGAGCTTTCGTCCGACTGAAGTCTCCAATTCGGTGCCATCTCGAGCAATCTTTACCTCACGGTTCGAATTCCACGGGTTCCTTAACCCCCTCGTCCGATAGAATGGAAGCCGGGTGGTTGATAACCATTCAACTTTGAAGGGTTTACCCCACGCTTTCGAATTCAGGGGCGATTCTAAATCCGTGTCGCTTTTGTTGCTTTGAGTTTCATCCTCCTCGTCTTCTTCGTCTCTTTCTACTTCCCAGAATATCGTCCCTCGAGCCGAATCATCAATAATACGACCTTTTGGAACAAACTCAGTTGCCGGAGTAGGAATGGCCTTTGGAAGTTCGGGATCTTCCACAGTTTGTGCTTTCGGTGCGAACTCTATTGCTGCCGCGGGGTCATCATTGATGGGGGATATCATCCTTGCATAGCCAAAGTATTCTCCTGACTTATTTGCCGAAAAGATCAAGTAGACATTATCTGCAGTCTAAATTGGTAGTTAGTATTAGGGTCCAAGGAAGATTTGGATGGAAAATGTGTCTTGCCTGATATGCTTTGTTGAGAATCTCTTCATTGTGTGACTGAGTGGCCCAGATTCCATTTCGTACACTGAGCTCGAGGTCTTCGACGGTAAGGCTTTTGACAACAAAGAACTTATCTTTGGGCGATGGACTGTCCTCACTATCCTGTTCGTTCACCTCTCCGCCTACCTCTTTAGGTTTAGATCCGCTCTCGGGAGAAGGCGTTCGATCTGGGGCGGGATTTGGAGGCGTCAGCGCGGCAGGGCCCGTGGGCGCGGGAACACCAGTAGTGGTTCCCACAGATCTCCTCCGTAATCTACTGACTAGTCTGACGTTTTGGAACCTCGAATCGTGAATTTTGGCTTGAGCAGCAGCGCAGGTGGTTTCGTCTTTGAAATTGGCGAAAGCACAATTGCTCTTTGAAATTAGGAATAGGGACTCAAGTCCAGGAGCTTCCTTGTAGACATGATGGACAAGATTCATCAGCTCGGTTTGTGGGGGCAGATTTCCTATCCAAATTGCGTGTCCTGCGACAAATCAGTTCAGCTCTGGAGGTGTCAAGCGCTGTTGCAACTTACCACTTTGACGAGGCTTTCTGGGTGGCCCTCGCACAACAGTAGACTGACCTGAGCTAGATCCTGCAAATCCCTATCAGCAACCAGAATTTGATGTGTAGTAGTTGAGGATAGTTGTGAATTTTAGGACTCACCAATTCTGCTAGGCATCCCGGATCCTCCAGTAGGGGAAATAACTCCTAGATATTCGTTGGGACGTTGCTGTTGGGGGATTTGACTGTCCGCAGAGTAGCCACCGCGAGGCCCGTATTGTTGAGGTTGTGGCATACCAGAATACATCTGACTATAGTGACTTGGCTGAATAAAAGGAGGAGTCCCAAGTTGCTGTTGTTGCCCTATAAATCCCTGATAGAATTGATTGCCCATCGCTGGCCCTTGTTGTAGATGCGGCGGAGATGGAGAATTGCCCGTAGCATAAATACTTTGGTACTGCGCTTGGTATGGGTATGGTGCGTTCGTTGGACTCATGGCTTGTGGCCCACCAAATTGTGGAGGATTTTGCATCTGGTAGATGATCCCGGAGGATTGAGAAGCTGAAGGATATCTTTGTGGTTGGCCATAGTTCTGGTAGGATGGATCAGGCAATGCTGCACTGAGTGGACCAAGATTAAACGGCTCTGGCCTTGTCTGTAAATTCTGCTGCTGAGGAAAGTATTGTTGACCCGGAATGTGGCCGACATGCGTAGTGTTCTGCGAAGAAGTCCCTTGTTGGCTCTTCCTAGCATCCTCACCCTCATGCGGGCCCGGCCGCGATAATTGCGCGGCGTCTCGTCTAGAAGACTGAGACATATTAGACGGGTCTCCCATAGGTCGCGCTGGTGTATCTCCCATGAGTGCTTCGTGGAATGTCGGCAACGGTTTTAAGAACTGGATCAAAAGCAAAGGCCATGTCAGCAACAATTCATGTGTAATAAGGCTCTACCGGCCAAGAGAGTTCATAAGCCTAAAAGTGAAGACCACAACCAAGATGAACCCAATTGCCAATAGCTACTATGTTATGTGACCAGTAATACAAAAGTCAACCATACCTCTTCAAATCTCCTCTCCCCGAATCAGTTTCCTTACGGGTCCTGAGCTACTCCTTCCTCCACAGGGTAAGCTCCCGCAGGATTGACAAGCCGTGAAAGGCAAAATAGAGTTTCAATCCTTCTCAGCCTGCGAGTATCCCCCTATGAAGCGGTAGGTAAACTGTGTATTGGGTTGGAAAGAAAAGGAAGCCGAATGCAGAATGCAGTCGGGGTACACGGAATTGGTAGGCGCAACAGAAGGAATCTAAGTATTGTAGCCTTTCTAGGATTCGACGACTGAGTATCTCTCAAATGTATCTAATGCAATGTGGAGAGGCTTCGTGCGCTCGTAGTGATCTTATAGAAACCGATGACTGATCACGGGAAACGTGGGCATTTGTTGAAAATAAAAGGGCTTAAGAAGGGGCGAGCGAGATGAACAGGGATTCGCGAGTTTGGGGCAAATCTGCTGGGGCAAGGGGGGCGGCTGTCAGTTGCTTGCTGCTGCTTCAGATAACCTCTGGTGGGGAGGAGGGATGACATGATGCTGCTCTGGGTACCGACGAAGATAATAGATTGACTAGCAACTAACCTCTAAGGTATCAGGTTATCAACAGGGTGAGACTAGGCCAGGTTGAGCAGCGGCAGGGAAGTTTCGAGGAATGAAGTTCACGGTGTGTGTAGGACAAGCAAAGAGATAATGCGCGGCGACTCCTTCGCAAGGCGCATGCTCTGGATGGAGAGAATGAGCGATCGTCAGGAACGGCAGCGTAAAGTGAGTGGCAAGCACGCGACAGGAGGAATCGGAGGCCGAAGGAAATAGCGAAATAGTGGTTCTACTGAAGAGCGTCGGGACCTGGGACGAAAGTGCAAGAGGTTAGGAAAGTAGGTATACACGAGAGGTACATTTTGGGGGGGGGGAGGGGTGGAGAGGGGAGGGGAGGGAGTACATAATTGACACGACCTTTTTCTCTCCCCTGGAGCAACCTTAGAACCTAACAAGCAAGGCGACCCAGGCCTGGTCCCGCGCGGGTCTACGGCCTATGGATATTCCGGGAGCGAAGCTTTGGAGCATATACAGAGTGACGGAGCGTAGTCATAAGCATGGAGGGATAACAGGGAGCCGGTGCCCAAGGCGGGCCCAAGAAGCACAACGGGGAGTGGGTAAAAGGCAGGAAATGGGGGGCAATGGGGGGGCAATGGGGGGAGAGCATAGAGGGCAGCAGAGAGGGCAAGAGACCGGACATGGGAATTGTCGGCACCAGAGCTGCTTGTAGGCGCCTTTAGGCGGGCCAGAAGATGGGATTTTGGAAAATACGATGATCCCACGCCCGCTCATCGCTAGACAAGGGGCAGAAATGTCGAGTTCAGGTCGACCAGGGTGCGACTTGTGGCGAAGGTGCGCGATGAGCGGGGCGAGGCTGGCACGGTGAAAGCACGCTGCTCCATTCGCTCCATCATTCGCTCCGACGGTCTGGACCGTTGTCTTCTCGAAACTTCCGCCTTTTTATTGCTCCGTTTAACCCTCCGTAGACAAACTTTTTTTTATGCCGGACTGAGCTCCGGAGAACCTACCTACTGAAGCGCGGCCGTGATCCATCGGTTGTCCTTGTGCTGGTCCGCATCGTTTTCCGGTCGGAGCTTTGCACGAGTCTCACAGAGAAGGGGGAGCCGCGGACCTGGCTCTTGCTCCTAACACGAACCGGTGGCGAGGAGACCTCTGTGGTCGTCGTGTGCTTGGTGCCATTCGAGGCCATACGGCTCGCTCTCTGTAGGTACGAGCGAGGTACAGCAACCTAGTCCTTAATACGAAGTCGTCCGCGCATACCCCGGGCCTTCCTGTCAATTGATCGCTGTGGCGTGCCGCTGTGGCTATGTATATTGTCTGATCATTGCCGGTTGCAGTTATTTTTCACAAACCCGAATGACATAAGTCACATAACGCTGTAGAGAGCCCTGACCTGGGGCCTGCGAGTCGCTGCGAGTCGCTGCGAAGGGCCAGCATTGGAGATGGGGACAGATGGCCTCTTGACCAGGGCCAATTAGTCATTCGACTGGGCACGAGAACCACCCTGCGTATAATCGGGATCACCTGCTGAGTCGTGAGGGGGGCCTTGCCCTCGAATCCGCGCCTCGCGCTCGAACAATCGAAATCAGGGTACTGATACGCGGCCCCCCCCTAATTGTTATGCGGCCCCCCCCCTCCGGCAGAACAGAGTTTTCTGCTAATACCTAATATTAGTATTACCTATAGTATAACACTAGGTATATTTGTAACGCTTTATTATACGTAAATAACAGCGCGCATATTACCTTAAGAGAGCCATATAGAGAGCCATATAACAGTTCAAATAACAGTTTAAATAACAGTTCAAATAACAGTTTAAATAACACGTTAAAAGTAAGCCATATACTACCCAAATAACAGGCTTATAACAGCTGCTTAAACGCGTTAAATCGTACTAAAAAACAGGCTTGACAGTAGTCAACAGTAGCCATATTAACAGCCTAAATAACAGCTTAAACAGAACAGTAAAAGTGACTTATATAGCACCCAAATAACAGGCTAATAGCAGCTGCTTAAACGGTCGCTTAAACGCGTCAAATCGTACCAAAAAACAACCTTAACAGCAGACAGTAACAGCCTAAATAACAGCCCAAATAACAGTCTAAATAGTAGTCTAAATAGCAGTCCAAATAGCAGTCCAAATAGCAGTCCAAATAGTAGTCTAAATAGCAGTCTAATGTGACTTATATAGCACCTAAATAACAGCCTAAATAGCAGCCTGATAAGAGCTACTTAAACCCGTGAAATAGTACTAAAAAAACCTATTATAGTAGCTAACAGAAGCCTACCTAAACGCCCGTATCCCCTTTATAGCCTGTATTGCCCGTATTGCCCGTATTGCCTGTATTAAGTAGCCGGAATAAAGCTATTCTAAGTCCCCCCCGGCTACTATAATTAGTCTAAAGGCTACTAGGACAGCGGCTATAACTGACTTAGCTGATTTAGCTATATAACTAGCCGGTTTCCTATTACTACTGTCGTCGCGGTATTTAGTAGTAGTACTACAGGTAGTACAAAAGGACAGGTATTACGCGTATAGCCTGTAGATCGACAACTCTTATAGGTAGATCGATTATAGCCATACTAAATATACGCTATATAGTGCCTTAACTGTAGTACTACTTACTTAAATTAACTTAATATCCTGCCTGTTTGTGCCGTCTTAGCCCTTGTATTCGCTCTCTAGTGTGCCTGCCGCTTAGCTTCTTTATCTTGTCGGCGCTATCGATTAATAGGATCGAGGATAAGAGGAGGAGGGGGGCTCTATTTAGAGCTAGGAGAGGGGCGGTTAAGGTACTAATAAGGGTAGAAATCTAGAGGTGTAATAACTATAAGGTTAGCCTATTTAGGTAAAAATAAAGGGCTAGATACCTGTATTACTAGCTATCATAGCTTTAATCATATACTAACAAGGCATCCCTATAGATCTAGTAAAGGATCTAGTACACTTAGACTAAATTAGACCCTACTCTTTATACTTACTTTAGCGTAGAACGTGTTAATACTGTTCTTTTAGCTTGTATAAGCCGTAGTAAGAGATCTTGCCTATTACCTAGTAGTAGAATAGACTTGACAGGCTAGTAGGAGTAGTTTAGTACCTCTTGTTAGTTAATAAGGTAATCTTATTTAGCTAATTATTAATTACTAGCGTTATAGAGTTCTAAATAGCGAGTAGGTGCTTAGATAGCCTACTAATCTAGTACTTGATTATAGCGTAAGATCCCTTAAGGCGTAAGGTAACAGTAGTTCTACTATAAAAGAATTAATTAACCTAGGCATAAACAATTTACTTATAGTAGGGCCTTAGCTACTAGCTAATCACGTAGACAAGAGCCTGCCTCTTAAGATCCTAATTAACAGCCTCTTAGATCTGCTTAGGGGACGCGTTAGGAAGGGCCTAGTAAGGCTTACTATTATTCTAATAAAACTCTTCCTTAAACTCTAATAGTATATCTTTATACTCCTCTTTTGTTTTAGCGTAAACAACGCGTCAAAACTACTTTTAGAACTCTTCTTACTGTTCTATAGTTAGAAAAAGGCCCTTATAGTAAGTTATAATACACTTGTTAATATACTAGAGACAGAGAACGCGTTTAGTTTAAAAGGTAGGGAAGTACTTAGTAACGGCCTTAATTAAGGCTACCTTATAGTTAGTAGTAATTACTAACGGCTATACTCTGTCGTTAAACAGCTTAATAAGGTACTAAATAGTCTTATCATAACAGTCTTTAGTCTCCTAATCAAGCTAGCAAAGGGCTACTATAAACGTGTTCCTATAGTGATTAATACTAATAATATCTAGTATTAGTATATCGAATTTGTTTGTCTTATAGATATAATCTAATAGTAGGATATCTAGGTACTAATTTAGGTACTTTACAGACCGTGTATCTACTACAAAGATCATCTTAATATTGCCTATAGTATTAGAACACTACTTAAAAAACACTTTACTAGTACTCTTTTTCTCCTTAAGGGACTCGATTAGGGCCTGTAGAGGGGGTCTACTAGCATGCCTAGCCCGGCTTAGCGTAGCTGTAACGTTATATATATTACAGTAGTAAACCGTAACTCTAGGGCCTCCTTATTAGCGTAGTACTGTCACAGTTCGACTAGGTAGAATACTAGTTATATAGTAAGTGTTAACAATCTTAAGTTACTTACTGTTAAGCTAGCGGTGTTTAGGGAAAGCTAAGGCCTTACTAGGCTTATAGTTATAGGTATCCCTTCTAGGACGGTGTTAAAGAGTCTATAAGCTATCTATACGCTACCTAGCCTTTAGAGACACCTAGTACCTTGTTCTAAAGGTACCGCGAGAGTAGATCCGGTGTTCTTTACTAACACTACTATAGTAGGCGCTACCGCGTTTGTAATTTAGGTATTTAAGACCCCTTCCCCCCCTTTTGTTAGTCCTCCTAATTGTAAGGGCATACCTAGCTAACTTGACGTAAGCCTGGCAGGCACTTTGTAACGTGTCGAATAAGTCGAATTAGCCCTCTAGCAGTAGGGATAGAGGGATTATACCGGTAGTAAGGGACGGTAAAGGGGCCGGTAAAGGGGCCGGTAAAGGGGCCGGTAAAGGGGTTTTAGGGTCCGGTAAAGGGGAGTTAAATAAGGACGACATCTTAAGCGACGGCGAGGTATAATGATTAAGCGACAGCGAGGTATACGACGGCAAGGTTAATAGGATAGTAAACAGTAGTAACAGTACGTAGATTACTATACAGTTTACAAGAGAAATAAAGTACTACTACTGACCGCCTACATTTTCGGCTTACTGCCGACGCATTCGGTAAGAGGGGGGGCCGCATAACAGTTGGGGGGGGGCCGCGTATCATGACCCCGAAATCAAGGACTGTACACAGGACCGTGTGCGGTGGCGAATAATATCGTGGGTCCGCGAGTTGGAGGAGACGGATGAAAGCGAAGCGAGCGGCTCCCATTTGCTGGAGGCGACGAGGGTGTAGACGGGCGACGTGAGGTTCGAGTCGGTCGACCCTTCGAGGTGCCCGGGTTATGCCATGCCGCCGTGCCGGGCCCATATCAACGGGTGGCGGCGGGGACCTCGAGTCTCGACAGTCCTCGACAGCCACTCAACGCTCTCAACCCCGGCGCTCCTCTTGGTCTGCGCGAACGGAGGAGGAGGAGTAGTGGAGAGTGTCAAGGACTGAGAATCTGAGGTTATGGCTGTGCACGGCGGAAGCTAAGCACACTAGGCCGCATTGGGACCCCGGCTATCTCATTAATCCGCCGCTTGCCGCCTGCTCACGATCGAGGCGATCTTGTGCATAGTACACACGTGTGTATTATGTACATATTCCGGAGCCTCCGTAAACAGCCCAGCGAATATTGCGAGAACAGGAAAGGAACAAAGAATACTTCTCTCTGATGGCCGTCCGCGCAGCCACGAGCACTCAGGCTGACGTACTCCGTACATATGCCATCAAGGCTGCCGTCATCCGCAGAATATGGGCCAACTTTTTGGACACAGAAACTCCGATTCCTGCCTTTTTTCCAGGCAGTGGTCGATCGACTACACCTCATGCTGCTTTAGTGAGACATGCTACTACTGTACTGGACTGTCCTGTACCGTCAACAACGTTCCCCTGGTCCGGCACTTTGATGATGTCCTCTGCTTGATAGGCTGTGGACCTGCCGGAGGCATGTCCGTATGTCTCATGGGTGTAAGTGAACCCGTGGGTTTACCCAAGATTCGCATCGAGGACTGAGAATTAGGGGTCCAATCGCCAGACCGAGAAGGCTAAAGAGATACACACCCTTGGCACTTGCTCTCTCTGACGCTACCAAGGTTTTACTCCACGTTCAAGTGAGTTTTGCGGTGGCGACCAGTTTTCTCTCTTGAAGAATTGTTAGAGCCTCCCTTGTGGAGCCCAATTGCCCCGCAAAGATTGGCGCGTAAGATTTGATTCCTGGATTCTATGCAGTGCCTTGGGCCTTGACAAAGATAAGGGATCGTCCATGATGATTCCACCTTGGCCCCATCAGGGCAAACAGAATTTCAGACAAGGCAACTCAGTGGTTGACCGATGACTCTTTCCACAGAGGTTCTCGAAGTATCCTGAATCCTTAAGTCAGCTGCAGCGGGTTACTTTTTTCTCGAGGGTATATTCTTTGCCGGGAATCCCTTAACCGGATTGTTCGCCACGACACAAATACCGCTGGATCTCCCATACAGTAGTATTCTATGAAGTTACCGGGTCGATTGATCATCTCCCGAAGGACACATTGCTTTAACCAAGTAAATTCCCCACGCTGGATTCCTGAGTCTGATACCTGCTATTCAATCACTCAGTTTTCCGCGGAAATCCTTATCCACTCATTCTGTCCTTCCAAGCTTTCCGTCCTCTTAAGCAATTATACCCTTCTTCAGCAAAATCAATGTCTTGGTCCTATCTCTATTTTTCACAAATAAGTCCCAGGCGGGCTTATCATTTATGTGCTTGTTAAGCTTGGCTCGGATCCCTAGTACAGGTCCTGGGCTGGGTAGTATGCACGCCGGAAATAAATGCATGCCCCAAAGAAGCTTCGGTGGACCCCTTAAAGTATCATAGCTTTCCTCAAAGCCAAGGACAAGATGGGAAATGGCTATACATCTCGATCGCTCAGTACGCACTTGATCTTTGCCCACTTAAGTTTGACTTTGAGCATGCGTTCCAGGGACACAGAGTCCTCTACACCTGCTCAGTCGCCAACACAACCAGGGCAATTTTCGCTCCAGAGGTTTCTGGAGGGTTTGGATTGAAATCAGTCTCTTACACATGCCTCGTCCCTTATTGAAAGTCAAGACTCTAACGAAACTCCCCCATCTAATTGCAACAGAGACTATAACGGAGATGCCGCAAATCCTACAATCAAAGACGGCAGCCCGAAAGGACAGAAGCCATTGTCAGCATACATGTAAAGCCCCTAGTATAATCCCACACAACGTATCTGTATGACTCCTCAGCACCCTGAACCAAGCATCTTGCATTGTCACCTATGCAACCTCCGCAGCTGAGAGAAGGTTAATATAACGCTCAACGCTTTTATTGCTAGCATCCGAGACACACGCCAAGAAAGCTAACTTAGGAGTTGCACAGTGAGCTAACTCAGGGGCAGGCTGCGGTTCCCCTGGGCTAAGCCGGCGGCGTGGCTTGGAATTCTACGAGTTTATGGTGCTACTAAGCGCCTCAGTACCTAGCTTGCGCTTTAGAGTCCCCGACTTCTGGCCTAGGGCTTGGTTTTTGGGTTCCTGTTCGTAGGTACAGTATGGGAATATAAACTCCCCTTCTCTCCCCAGATGACCTTGCTAGATTTCTAGCTACATACAGGTACATACTGGAATTGTTAGCAGGCAGTATGTGAGTAATGAGCAGATCGTGGGGAACTGTTGGGCCAAGTTTCCGTGTCCGGAAAGTGATTGGAGCTCTGCAGAGGGGGTACTACTGGGATGATGAGGTGGTATGGTGGTATGGTGGCGGAAAGTGGTCGTTGATTGGTTGGCTTTCTGGGTCTCGTGATACAGCATTATAAGGTAACGTGACGTCGACCTTTAATGCCTTAGGCGTCAAGATATCCTGCGAGAGGATGGGAGGCCATTTCACAAGAACTACCCCCAAAGATTACATGGAATAAGCAGGCAATCCGCTCCCATTCAATGTGTCCATATGTAATAGTACAATGCCTCAGAACGCCATTTCCCCAATCTAATCTTTCTTGAGCGGCAGATACTTTTCCTCAATCCCGTCCTTTGTGATAATAAGCATCTGAAGACCATCTCCCACCTCGATATGTCTCTCAACCGCACTATCAAACGCATCCTTCACTAGATCCTCCACTTCATTCCTAGGTAATGGGATCTTCTCCCGCTCTTGTAACTCGTGCCCGACGCCACTGCCTGGGATATATTGATTCTTGAAATTGACCTGGTTATCCAGGAAGGGCATGATAAGGCTGGCCGCGGCACCCGCCGCGCGGCACTGTTCCCTCTCGTAGCTACCAACAGGATCGTAGGAGTAGATGGCGCCACGACCCTCCTCGTCGAGACCGCCCAGAATGGCGTGGACGTAGTAGGGGAAGAAGCGCTTGCCGTAGAGGATGGTGGAGAGGCGCTGGGCGCAGGCCTTGACGCTCATGGGCTTGCCGTGCTGGTAACGGTACATCTTAACAATGGCATCGAGACGCTCTTTCAGCGCCTCACCATCAGCTGCGAACCCAACAACTGAGAGCACCAGTGTAGCATCATCTTGAGTTGATGTCGTGCCCCCGATCTTGAATACCTTTGGGCTGTAGCGGGTGTTGATATTGTATCCGGACGTCGACCGTGTGTCGCCGGCGAGGATCGCGAAGTCGGAACCAGAGATCGCGAGGGTCGAACCACCGTTGTCAGTGTATCTATACAACTAGTCAGTGAGAAGCTAAGGTAATAACCTGGGTTTAACTTACGGGTTGAACGCATGCTCCTTATTGCCAGCTGCGGTCACTGGGGCCTGGTTGAAAGAGTAGTTCGGGCCGTTCATCAGCGGATTTTGACTAAACATCGCAGCCATCTTGACTGCGGCAAAGAGAAGAGCGGAGGTATTCGTATGGGAGACTTGGGCTTTGTGGTAGATATGGATTGGGAGGCTGATAAAATCTGGCTCGCGGACTGATGTGATGTAGCAACGCGTTGACAGAGCTGCCTCAACTTAGCGAGGCGAGGCTGGACTGCAGGGGACCGGGGTAGCTCAAATTACGCAGTAGATGCACAGCAGCAGGGACGAAGTAAGCTCAAAAACCGTCCGGAAGTTTACTTTCAAAGGACAGTTATGGACACGTACGTCGATCTGCCTTACTTATAAATGTGTACTGACCGTGTCGTAGTGTCTCACGAAGCATCCGGCGACAAGCCTTGCAAAAGATTGCTGCGCTCGCCGCAACGTCATCGTCAACGGACTTTGATAACTCGGACCTTGATCGACTCTGCAAAGGATTTTCAAGTCCTGGAAATGTGCAGACAAATGGCGCTACAAAAGGCTCTCCTCAATCTCTGTCGGGGTCGCCCATGGTATGTGTGGATCTCTGCCTGTGGAAAGGAGGAAGGCTGACATGACTACAGACTATACGAGAATTCGAAGTCTTGCTGGCATTGTGCAAAGCGGCCCCTCTCCTGCAGACTCCCCAAAGTGCCCTGAAGCTGGTCGAACAGCTGTCCCCTTACGTCCTGGAATCGCACACGCAGGTGTTCGTTCCGTCGCCCTTTTTCCGCGAAATCGAACCCTCCCCTATTGAAGCCCTGAGCTACAACCTCGCCACGGCCCTGCTCTCACTAGGCGTGAATCATGGATTCTTACAGAAGTTAGTCGTGGAGAAGTTATGGGGATACCTGGACAATTGTACGCAAGCTGCTTTGATTGCCATCCAGGGGGAAGACACGGAGAATGGAGATACAACCGAAATTGAAGATGCCGTCCATGTTGCAACGGTGACCATATCGATTCTCGGCTTCCTCGATGCTGCAGCCGCGTATGCGAATTTCTGGACTGCTGCCGAGAGGCTTGATCTGATTCAGCGTGTTAATGCCTTGTTATCAGAAAAGTTCTTAGTAGCAGTTGAAATCGCATTTTCCACGATCCGCAACACGAGTTCTCAAAATAGCCATGTGAAGGAATGGAAGAGATATGTCCGGCACTACGCAGCCATTGGTCGTCCCCTTGGCGCTATGCTTCTCCAGCGAAGTTTCATGTGGCTCCTCGTTGCAGGCTCCTCACTTCTCATTGCAGACGTTGATGTGCTCAGAGGGAACGATATCCTAGATCTGCTTATGTCAGGTACTGAACTCACTGGTCTTACTTCATCTCGAAGCGGAGGAGTGGACTTCGATACCATTGAGACACTGGCCGATATTGCTACTGATGAGATGAGTCTCCTCGAGGATGGTGCTGATTATCTTCGACTCGGTTCTGCATGGCAACAAAGACTCGCGTTTTCAGTCAAAGCAGGTGCTCTCACGAGCTATCTCAATTGTGCACTGCTTAATGAAGATGCTGCCGACCCCGATGTTCTTATGACTTGGTTAGAGAATACCCTTGCAGATCCTGTACAAATGGCCGACGAGACGCTAGCAAATGTTGTCCTTCGGGCAATGGCTTTGATCTCAAAATTATCCCCTGGCTTTGCCCCGAATGTTAGTCGACTCCTACCGCGGTTCATCGTACAAGGGGGCTGCCGTGGCCAGACGATTTCCGTTGCATCTGCTTGTTTAGCATACGTTGTCCAAATCCTTTCACAGGATACCATCATTACTACCCTATATACCCTTGGAAATGTTCTCAGCTCCGGGACCAACCCAGAAAGAGCTCTCGCAGGTGGAGCTAACGGCGACCTGACTATGGATGCGTCTCTTAACTCAACACTCTACGCCGGAAAGCAATCTACGGGCAGTTCCATATCGTTGACGATAAGTGGGGAGGAAGAAACTTCAGCAGTTTATGGAAATGTTGTACAAGCAATTTGTGGAATTGCTAGTAGCTGCAAGGACGCAAAGATAACGGCTTTGGCGCAATCGATGCTTCTTCAGAAGATTGAGAAGGTCAGCAGATCGGTAGATGCTCGAATTATCACTGAGGCTGCTGGGTTGGCATTAAGTGGCGGACCCCTCGAATTCCGTAGTTTGCTCAAGCTCTATGCCAAACTCAGCCACGACGGCGTGATACAAAATAACGAGGTTTTACTAGCGGCGGTAAGTCAAATCCCAATCCGAATCAATTCAGAGAATAGTATTGACCTTCGTAGGTGATGAAAGGCCGTGACTATCTCTCCTCGAGTTTGCGCAGAGAGTCCCCGTTGTTTGATATCTACCTCGAGCATCTGCTGGAATCCATCATCAGCAGGGGCGATGCGCACCAGGGGGCAAATACCCGCGAAGCTGATGTCGAAGTTGCCGCACGTGAGATTGCCCAGATGTTGCAACCTCTTGCTATATTGATGTCCCAGATTGATTTGGCTTCTGGTGACGCTTTGAGTGAGGAAACCTCGTCACTTCTCCGTGATGCCTGGTTCAACATCGTTGTTCATGGCTTCACTGCTAATACAGACCGTGGCAAGAAATACCGAAACGAACTACAACTTATGGCTGTTCATTCAAGACCCCTTGTTACTGAGAAGCGAGGCGAACAAGTCGAGAGCGATATTGAGCTTAATACTGTCCTTCGCCGTGGGATGAGTTCTGAACATGAGGCCACCCAAAAGAAGAGCCTTACAGCTCTTTTGCCAGCCAAATCCTCGGAAATTTCAGGCCTGAGTTACAGCAAAGTCATATTTCTGCAGGCCGCTTATCTCGTAGAAACACTCCGTGCAGACTCGGGCGATTGTACTAAGGCTTTGATCTACTTTCTGGAACCTAGCATGCGAAGAGGAGATATGAGTAGCATCATGGAATCGATTACTACAACAGTTATGGACATCTATCTGCGTAAGACCTTAGCCGGGAATAATCCGACTTTCTCTGCACCCTACGTTGCCAAACAGCTCTCGTCGATATTCAGCGGATGCTGTTATCGTATTGATAGAGTGCAGCAGGCCGCTATGATCTGTGCAGATCGAATCATACTCGATGTTCCGTCCGCGCTGTGCCAGAAATCGTCCCTTTTCGCGCTTTTGGAATTGCTCTCGTTGATGTGGGCCAGCTGTTTGGAAGCTGAAACCGACGAATACGACTGGAAGTCGTCTTTCACCTCAAGCCGTGGCAATGTTACTGTGGAGTTGTCTGATGACTATGCCATGCGCAGACACACGCTCAACAACCTGTACAAAAAGGCCAGAGGTTGGGTAACGGCTGTTATCAATATTGCACCGCTAGATATCAAAGGTCTACTACAGACGTACCTTTCGGAATATGACGACGATGGCGCTTACGGGCATATGTCACTCGGTAGATCATTCGCATCAGAGATGGGATCTGTAATCCCAAACACCGATCAAAGGCTTGCTGCCATAGATCGTGATGGAGACTGCAACATCAATACCGCTTCGGACTTCATTGCCCAATACACAACTCGTCAAGAGTACCGATACGCGGAGACGATTCCCGACCATGGCGCAGAATGGCTGCAATTCATGAATCTCGACGACCAACGTGGGTCTCTTGCCTCGAAGTCGGAACAAGATGGGCACAATGCTGTAACAGTACTTGCACAGCTCGAGGCTCGAATCGTAAATCGCAAGTACATCCCAATCGACGAACTGCGTGATATCTTGCGAAGAGCTGCGGCTTTGCTCTGTCGGAGTAAAAAAGACGAGTGTGCTATTGTGCACTATCTTGTCGGCATTCCATTCGCAATCTTCACGAAACAATCCATCAAACTTGGCATTTCTCTTTGGCTTGGTGTTATCAACGAGAATCCCCGGATGGAGCCCAGAATTTTAATGGAAGTCGCTCGGCAATGGGAATCCACAATCCATCGACGCCTTGGTATTTTCAACTCGAAGTTCTTGTAAGTTTCAGCTCCCTCTCTACTTCACAGTTGCTAATTTTTGGAGGCACCCTGATCCGTTCTACGTCAAAGAAGAATTTGCACCAAGTGATAGAGCGGCACTTAAAAAACGGCAGCAGACTGCTCATAATCTGCTTGCACCCCACATGCGGTTGTTGCAATTCATAGCAAGCCACTTCAATGCAACTCGCCTTGGCAGTCCTCACATCGAGAAGGCGTTCCTGAGACTCCTGGCCACTACATTGGAAAGCCTGAAGCATTCTACTGGTCATCCATTAGCCCGAGAGATAAGATTGCAGATTGTTCTATTCGGCCTGAAAGTGCTGAGGCATAGTACAGCTCTTGATATGGCTTCAAAGTATTCGTTGAAGGATCAAATACTATCTGCAGCCTTGAGCTGGTTTAGCTTCGCCCCCCAATGGTCATTTGGTGGCAATCGATTGCAATTGAAGGCCGAGGTTCGTTTGCTCGGGGATGTGTCGGCAGCACTCCGAAATGCTGTAGTGGCTGGACAGAAGCCGATATCAAAGTCACTCCAGGCTAAGGAAAGCCTGCTCCAGACTTTGATTGAAAGCGAGCAGGCGCGGCTCACAGTCTGGCTATACCCTCTGAACGACCCCCAAGGCTCCGGCCACGGCCATGGATCGAAGTCCCCAACAGAGGTAAGCATAACTGTGGCCTCTGCTGCAAATGCACGTTTCTAACTTAAGTTTAGGCAACTCTCCTCGCCCATGTAAGGACTGCGTGGAACGAAAACCCATCATTGGCCATACAACTTGTCGCAAGATTTCCTTCGGCAAGACTTCAAAACGAAGTACGATGGCTCTTGTTCAACTTTCCAGACAAGGCTATTTCTGAACCCGAGGCGCTCCAAATTCTACTTGGGGGTGCATTGCCAGATGATGTGTCTTTCCAATTGAAGGTCAGTCCGACCGATTAGCCATTGGATCCAAATACTGACCGTTGTAGTACCTTCTGTATTGGGCTCCTGTGAATCCCATCACCGCAGTCACATACTTCTTACCAGCATACCGGAATCATCCATTCATTGTGCAATATGCTATGCGGGCTCTCGAAAGCCATTCTGTCGATGTCACCTTCTTCTATGTCCCCCAGATCGTTCAGACATTGCGGTATGACGCTCTTGGCTACGTCGAGAGATATATCGTAGAGACTGCAAAGTTCTCTCAGTTATTCGCCCATCAGATTATATGGAACATGAAAGCAAACGCTTACAAGGACGAGGATTCTCAGATTGTGAGTGTAGTACTGCACTTCTCGGTGTATTATACTAATGACTCTCTAGCCCGATGCTGTGAAGCCCACACTTGACAAGGTCATGAATCGAATGATCGCGGAATTTTCGGGCGATGACAAGGCTTTCTATGAACGTGAATTCGCATTCTTTGACGAAGTTACTAGTATTTCTGGAAAGCTCAAGCCATTCATCAAGCGACCCAAGCCCGAGAAAAAGCAGAAAATCGAAGAAGAGTTGCGTAAAATCAAGGTCGACGTTGGGGTTTACTTACCCAGTAACCCTGACGGCGTGGTGATCGGTATTGACCGAAAGTCTGGGAAGCCACTTCAGAGTCATGCTAAAGCACCGTACATGGCAACCTTCCGAATCAAAAAGTCCAAGACGGATATAGAAGGGGCTGATGAAATGTTCGAAGAGACCAACAAGAATAATTCAGTACCCAAAGAGACCACGATCGAAGTATGGCAGTCCGCTATATTCAAAGTCGGAGATGACTGCCGCCAAGATGTCTTGGCCCTTCAAATGATAGCAACTTTCCGAGGCATTTTCAACCATGTTGGTCTCGACGTCTACGTATTCCCTTACCGCGTTACGGCAACGGCGCCCGGCTGTGGTGTGATCGACGTTCTGCCAAATTCTATCTCCCGAGATATGCTCGGACGAGAAGCTGTCAATGGTCTTTACGATTACTTCATCTCGAAATATGGGAATGAAGACTCTCTGCGATTCCAAGAAGCCCGGAACAATTTTGTAAAGAGCATGGCAGCTTACTCCATCATTTCTTACTTGCTGCAATTCAAGGATCGACATAATGGTAACATCATGATTGATGATGCGGGCCATATCTTACATATCGACTTTGGATTCTGCTTTGACATTGCTCCTGGTGGCGTCAAGTTTGAAAGAGCTCCATTCAAACTCACAACTGAAATGGTGTCTGTCATGGGCGGAAGCATGGACCACCAGGCATTCAAGTGGTTCGAGGAATTGTGCGTAAAAGCTTTCCTAGCCTCTAGACAATACACAGAGAAGCTAAGTCAGCTTGTGCTGTTGATGATGGACAGTGGCTTGCCTTGCTTTAAGCCGGAGACGATCCAGAACTTCAAGGACCGGTTCGTGTTAGAGAGAAGTGAGAGGGAGGCGGCGGAATACATGAAGGACTTGATCAAGAAGAGTCACTCCAGTTATTCAACCGGGGTTTATGACAAATTCCAGGAGATCACGAACGGTATCCCATACTAGATAAAGTAGCTGAATATATACATACCCTAGGCGGCTTTCGAACTCTTGCACTTGAGACTGCGTTATCTGAAAAGGGTTGTAAGACTATATTTATTCTTGGTCTGTGTTGCAGAGAACCTCTCCCCCAGTTTGGGATAAGAGTGAATCCTTTTCTTAAGAGCTATCTCGAAGAGATTTCACATATCAAAAAGCGTTTGTGGTTTAGTGGTAAAATCCATCGTTGCCATGTGAATAATTTCACAGCAGCCTCGATGGGCCCCGGGTTCGATTCCCGGCGAACGCAAAACATGTTTTTTTTGTAATTTTTCTTTCCCTTACCTTTTTCTAGGCTCTTCCTTTTTGTTCCCAAAAAAAAAAGGGCTTTGGAAACAAGCTTAGGGAAATCGGGCCTTGTTCTCGCTTCAAAACAACCACAAAAAATTAAACTTCAAAAGTTAACGGAGATAAAAGGAAAAATTGATACAATCCCAACACCCCGTCTCTAGTTCGAACAAGTCTTAAGGGAGAAAAATTCCAAAAGATGAATGCGTTCGCCGGGAATCGAACCCGGGGCCCATCGAGGTTGAATGAATCACTTCATTGGCAACGATGGATTTTACCACTAAACCACAAACGCTTTTTAATGTGAGAAATTCCTTCGAAGTAGCTCTTAAGAAGGTTTCCAAATGCAAATAGAGCCTTCTTAGAAAAGGGGAAAAGAAAATGTTAGGCGGGTATTCAGAGAGTCTTAGTATCTTGATTCTAGAGGGCAAGAGGCTGTCTTTTGATATAGAAAGGTGAAAAGAACTGAGTGTTGAAAGAACGGCATGTCTCAAAACTGGATTAGGCATACAGCCTTAGGCATCATTAAGCATCCACCCGTCAAAGAAACCGGTAGAGACGTAGCCTAAGGCATCAATATCACGTGCCTCGACTTTCAACAGGAAAAAAAAAAAGAAAACGGTGGGGGGAGAAAAATTCAAGAAGATGTGTATTCTGCGTTCGCCGGGAATCGAACCCGGGGCCCATCGAAGTTGATATGAAGCTATTCACATGGCAACGATGGATTTTACCACTAAACCACAAACGCTGTTTGATGGTGAAGATTTCTTACTCTATCATTAAGAATCTACTGCTTTGACCCCACCCCTATCCTCGTGAAAATAAGGTTCGCGGCAGAGCCGACGATAAGGTCGGACCTAATGTCACCGCCTTCCTATCTGGATTCCGTCTACCTTATCCTCTGTTTCTGCCACGCCTCGCCTTTCTTTGTCCCTTCTCCTCTAATTTACTTCTGACCTAAATTCTGATCTGAACGCAGATCATCATGGATTGTATGCTCCGTTGTGCCAATGGGGCTCATTCCGAGCTGTCTACTACCCTCGGACCGTCTACAGGGTTCCTCAAAGGATTTCCAAAACAGACACCACAGTATTTCTTCAGCAATATTGCGGATTTTGAACGGAAAGCAAACCGCTACTGGAGATAATTTCGGAGACCAGAAATCTCATCCTGATTTCCTTTTCACGTGCCGGAGGAAGATTTGCCGAAGATCACAGAGGAATCTACGCCCTTCAGTCGACGCAAAATTTCCCACAACAGGGAACCCAGCACTCTAGTCATCGAGATGCCTCATTACCCCCTCCCCCCCCTCTTCGATGGTCTTTCAGTGACAAAAATGGGGCTTTTCTCTGCCTTTCGTGCTGGTCACTCCACTGATATGGAGCTAGATATGCCCAGGCTGTGGAAATTGTGATTATAGTCAAGGTTGACGACAGTAATCCGAAAATTGTTATCGAGCAATGGGAAAAGATTGCCTCAAATCCTTCACGACTCGGTACGGCCACTCGAATCCCTACTGCGCGGGTTGCAACGAAAATGCTAGCTATCCCAATCTCTCGAGTCAGCCATACAGCTTTGGTCAGCGGAGTTCTTCGTCTGCCTTTCGAAAAGCTTTTTCGACAACCAGCAGATCCGATGAATTCTGCAGAACAGGATGTCATTTGCACCACACAAGGCCTTGAGCTAATGGCAAAACGAACCTGGGAGGCCCAAGAATTGTCTGGTGAGTGAATCAACTATCAGCAAAATTATCAAGCTGTCAAGGCATGGGCATGTGACCTCGCTTGTTCTGTATATAGCTCAGCCTGATACTTGACACAAACGATCAAGAAATTGAACCTTACACGCTTGATCAATACCATAGCAGATACTCCTAAAAATAGTAGTAGTGACATCGGTTTTTATTCATGTTACCCGTCGTTGAACTCTCTAGGAAAGCTATAACCTCACAGTTACTAGAACAAGCTCCGGCCCCCTACCTAACACCCCCAGTACTATATAATAAGAGCCCCTCAAGACATATACTAGACGCAACTCTACCCTCTAAACAAAGACCCCTAGAGATAACTCTACTAGGTTGTATTATAAAGACGCATGCTTGGGGATATGGATCTGGGGATAGTAGGAAATTTGCTAGGAATGCGGGGGATAGAATAATGGACCCGGAAAGGCGTGATCGGTCCCGTCGAGGATCCCTGCCGGAAGAACCGTTCCGTTTAAAAGCTGGTATTATTGTATGTAGCAGTATTTATCCATATCTACCTACCTTAGCTACCTGAGGAAAATCGATTTGGTGCTTGTAATCAAGGAATACCATAAATCTTCGGGCTATCCAAGTTCCTGCAATCGTAAGTACTTCTTCACCCATGATGGACGTATGAAGGATGCAGCCCCGCACCTCATTACTCCCCCACTTCAGCACTGAGATATACGAAAGCAAACGCCTGATATTTCCATTGCCCAGCTCAAGATGGCCACGCCGTTTACTCTCGCCAGCGAAGCCGCGAGAGGCTTCAGCAACGCTGCGCAGTACGACCAGTACCGGCCTAGCTACCCCGCCGAAGCCGTAGACAAGCTGCTCACGCATCTAGGGGTGGCAGGTCTGAAGAACGCGCGCGTAGTGGACCTTGCATGTGGAACTGGCAAGTTCACGGAGTTGTTGACGGCGAGGCCCGAGGAGTATGAGGTCGTGGGGGTGGAGCCCCATCGCGAGATGAGGGAGGAGCTGGTCAAGAAGAACTTGGCAAGAGTCAAGGTTCTCGATGGGGATGCGGGCAATATGCCGATTGGGGAGGGGTGGGGAGATGCGCTGGTCGCGGCGCAGGTACGTAGAATGAATGGTTTGAGGGGTTGTGTCAGGGCTGATCACGTGCAGGCGTTCCATTGGTTTGCTACGGAGGCGTCATTGAAGGAGATTCATAGGGTGTTAAGGCCAGGAGCGGCCTTTGGGATGATTTGGAATGTTGAAGACTGTATGTGATATGCAATTGCCTTTGGAGGACACGGCTGATAGCTTCAGACAACGGACCGAAAGCATGGACACCAACTACGAAATGGGAGCAGGAACTGAAGGATATCATTGCTGAGCTTGAGGATGGTCATCCACGATTTAGGCATATGATATGGCGGCAAGTCTTCGAGAAGCAGCAAGATACCACGCCCTTGCAGACGCTCAAAGACACTTTCGCCCAGAAACTTCCGCTATTTTCGTTGCCGATCGGGGAGGATACTGTTAAATGGACTGTCTGGCTTAGTGATGAAGGTGTTTGGAAGAGATATAGCACTCTTTCGCAAATCGCTAACCAGGAAGGCGAGAAGAAGGAACAGATCCAGGAGAGGGTCTTCAAGGCCCTCAAGGACCCTAGTACGGAGCGGAATGAAAAAGGAGAGGTTGCGGTACATGGGGTAACTTATCTAGCATGGACCTCTCGAGTTTGATATCTAGGACTCTGAAGTCTCATGGATTAAGCATCATATGCTAACGATATGTGTCCTGATTTGTTCAGCATCATTCGCACTTCCCCTCTCCGAGGTATACCCTCATCCATTTCTTCACCCTTTTGTGTCATAACGCCTTTCCAAACGCTCAAATGACTCCATGACTCCTGCTCAAGGCCTCTCCAGTCTTCGATTTTGATTTAACCCGTAGAAACTTGTGCTCAATCCGCCGAGATGTACATGACTAGAGATGTATCAGCACTAGATCTATGCTACGTGGAGGTATGCTCACCATTGTTCCCCCTGACGAAAGCGTCACCATAGGTTCTCTTCTTCACGCCGTTGATGTGCTCCTCAGTCTTCTCCAGCGCAATGTTCATGTATCCGTCTACGGACTGCAATTCTCCTGCGGTCAGGTATCAGCCTCGAAATCTCACTGCAGCAGCAGAACACCGACCTTTGTAGACGACTCCCGAATTCAGCTTCACCGTGACCTGGCTCCCAATAATCTCGCTGAGGAAACCAGATGGGTCTCGGCCCTCGCCTTGCGCTGCGGTTCCGTTTTCCATCGTGTGTATGATTGGCTTCCAGCTACAGACTCGACCGCCCAGCTAAATTTCGGACTGCGCTCCTGCAAGTACAAAAGTTAAGGCCCTGAGAGTGAACGCCGTCCGTCAACCAAGTTTTAAAGGGGCGCGTGGATTGTTTATCTTTCTTCACCTCTGAAGTTCAGCCTGGAGGGGTCTCGGATATTCATTGACGTCCACTAGCGTGGAGCCAATTTTCCCTCGCGTTGTCCCACGTCCCCTCTGATCACCACGCGCGCGCAATGCCATTTTGAAGGCTCGCGATATTACCGCATCTGCAAACGCCCACCTGCTTGAATGATGGGAGACACGCGCGATGAGCTCCCGGAAGCTCCGGTTGCACCACCGAAAAAGAAATCTCTCTTCAGCAAACCTACATTTTCGAAACCCCAAGAGCTGGAAGAAGGCATCGATTTCTTCAGCAGAGCAAAAGAGCTCTACCCTCGTAGGCTCGCCGAAGAAGAGCGGAGGCGGCAGAGGAAGCTGGTGAAATTGGAGCGCAAGAGGTCCACCGCCAGTGCAGAAAGGAAAGCGTCCAGTACTCCAGAGATCAAGCGGCGTCGTGTTTCTGCAGAACCAGAGGATAAGAACGAGCACTCTTCTGACAGCTCACCCAATAACGATCTTCAGGATGAAGTATATTCGAGCCGAGGGTAAGTTTAATTAGTTCTACAACATATTAGATCACATTTTAACATAGTTGTAGCGAATCTACACTTTCGACACCCGGCCCGAAGTCGAAATCGAAATCGGAATCGGATTCACAACAGAGATTACAAGCTTCTCCAACAACGCTTTCAGCACGGTATGGAAGGGACCTTGAGACGAAGAACCAGAAGATTTCGAAAGAGAAGCCAATAGCCAAGGGCTATATATCTTTGAGTGACAGTGAAGATGAAGGAGTGACAGTGAAGCAATCAGTTCCCGACCCTTTTAGTGTAGATGATGATGATGATATCTATATGGTCCCAAGTGCGAAACCTTCACCCGAGGAAGAAGAGTCTCGACTCTCTGACGAAGAATTTCCGGAGTTGATTCAACGTGCGAGAGAAAAAGAGAAGAAGAAGGAACTTGAACGTCTCAATACTCAGAAATCATTTGCCGAGCAGAATCATGGGACTGGTGGGCGTCTATCAGCAGCTGACGACGTCTTCCGGGAACCCAAGGCCCCAGAGGCCGATCCAGTCGTTGAAATCCTAGTCTCGTCTTGTCTCGAGGGCACGAAGCCTCTAATGGTCCGAAGAAAGCTAACTCAACGTCTGAAAGAAGTCAGACTTAGCTGGTGTGATAAACAGGTCATAGGAGGCCAATATTTGCCACCAGAAATCAAAGCCTCAATATTTCTCACGTGGAATGGCAAAAGACTGTTCGATGCTTCTACGTGCAAGCACCTGGGCATCAAGGTGGGTTCGAACGGGAAATTATCCTCTGAGGGGAAGGGCATTGATGAACATGGGAGGTTACACTTTGAAGCTTGGACGGAAGATGCGTTCATGGCTTACCAACAGCAACAGCAGCTTCAGCAAGAGCGTGGCGGCCGCGAGGATGAGCCAGAGCAAGAGGAGGAAGTAGCTGTTGAGAGGGTCAAGTTGATTATGAAGGCAAAGGACATGGAGCCTTTCAGAATGAGGGTAAAAGCAACGACGTTGATCCAGAAGATGGTTGACGCATTTTGTCTCGAAAGGAACATCCCAGAGGGAAAAGACGTTGCGTTATACTTCGACGGCGATAAACTCGATCCGGCTTCGAAGATTGAGGATACAGAGCTGGCTGACATGGATACGGTGGAGGTGCACATTCGATAATTGTCAGCGGGTTGGGATCTATGGACTGCGGGCGTTGGAATGAGGTTTCGTTATGGCAGATACCCGGAGTTGAGGGAGACTATAGCATGCATTCGTGGCAACTGTCCTTATGATAAAAACAAAGGATTAGGTGTAAATATATGGTCAGATTGTACCGCAAGTTATACCTAGGTAGTTGTGGTTGTGAATGGACAAACACTTCTACCTCAAACTCATATTCGGATTGGAAATCAAGAACTTTGCACGTTGTATGCACGTACTGACTGCACTAAGTAGATCAAAAAATCCGATAAGGCTGGCGGGATGTGATCAACCGACAGGGGATTCCTGGATCCAATCAGATTCAGCCATTTTCCCATGTTTCCCATGTTACAGAATCTATCTGTCAGGGCGGCTGTCGGCAGTAAGCGAGATGGCCGGGGGAGCTGAGATTCCCAGGTTTAGCTTTATAGTTTTGCCTTACAAACCGGCAAACTTTCAACTTCTCTAACCCACATCTCATATTTCAGCATGCTCTTGCCAGACGCTTCCGATACCTGCCAGCGCGGACATATTCTTATCTGACCATTCTGTCGTTCTTCCACAGCATATCAACATGTCTACGGACGACGAGCCTCCCGCATCCCCCCCAAGGTTTGGGCGCATTCCGCATCTCCAGGGATTTCTCCCTCTGAGTCCGGAAGCTCCAAGTCCAATGGCTACTCATGGCCACGGAGCTTTGAACACCCTTATAAGGACTCGGTCTAACACATCTCTGCATAACACGCCACGGGCGCCATCCGCGGCCTGGGGGCGAGATACGGACGATGAGGAAGCGCTTCCTGTGGGGAGGCCGCGTAGGCTATCTGGGGACGACGAAATCGACGAGTTTAGGCACTGCGATGAACGACGCCTCAGTGCCGTACTTATGGGGCCTCAAATGCGGAGCCAGAGACTCATCGGAAATAGCAACCCTCGTTATCGGTGGGGGAGATATTGGAAAACTGAGGAGCAACTCAAGACCATGCGGAAGCCAATGTATGCAGGACAGTATATTTTGTTACCATAATACATTTACTGACGCAAATTTGATAATTCAGACGCGACTATTATCGGCGCACGAATTCCTTGATACAGCAGTACATATACATCGATCGTCTGTTGGATTCCTCGCTTCCCCACGACCTACTGAATGAATACAACCACACCTCTAGTTCTGGGCCGAGTACCTATAGAAACAGCGTCGAGGTTCCACCCACAATATCTGAAGAAACGCCCAGTCTTCCTAATGGAGCAGGCATCGTTCCAAAGAAGGTCAAGAGAACACCTCGAGAGCTATACAGAGTTTCTGGTGAAACTACGCCCCTTCTGCAGGACGCGGATGATGACTATGATGGTCCGAAGCCTGAGATCCCTGGAATGGAGGACGACAGTGTTGAGAGCGGTGATAGGATTGTGCAGATTGCGATATATGTTAACCTGGCTGCAAACACGATTCTTTTGGCTGGCAAAATTGCTGTCATCTTTCTCACCAACTCTCTCTCAGTTCTAGCATCACTTGTTGACGCGGCCCTCGATTTTCTCTCAACCGCCATCGTCTGGACTACGACAAGGATGATAGAAAGGCACGATAAGTACCATTATCCTATTGGTAGGAGACGCCTGGAACCAGTAGGAGTTCTTGTGTTCTCCGTAATCATGGTCACCTCATTTGCACAGGTTGCACTCGAGTGTTTGAGCCGTCTAAACTCTGATGATCATACAATCATCGAGCTCGGCCTACCATCGATCATTATTATGTCCAGCACTATATTGGTCAAAGCACTTTGTTGGCTGTGGTGCCGTCTCATAAAGAACTCAAGTGTTCAAGCGCTTGCCCAAGATGCCATGACGGATGTTGTCTTCAACATCTTCAGTATTATCTGCCCTCTGAGTAAGTGTTTACGACCTCCGCCGTCTTTGCTCTGCTAATATTCTTTTAAGTCGGCTTTTACGCACAAATATGGTGGCTCGATGCTCTCGGAGGTCTGCTCCTGTCACTTTTCGTCATCATCAATTGGGCTGGTACTTCCGCCAGTCATATTCGCAACCTTACCGGCGCTGCAGCAACAGCTGACGAGCGTAACGTCCTTTTATACCTGACGATGCGTTTTGCCAAAACCATCAAGCAGATCCAAGGTCTCCAAGCCTATCATTCAGGCGACAAGCTCAATGTGGAGGTAGACATCGTCCTGGATGAAAACATGAGTTTGAGAGACAGTCATGACCTGGGCGAGTCGTTGCAGTACGTCTTGGAATCAGTTCCAACTGTCGACCGGGCGTTTGTGCACCAGGATTATGCAGGTTGGAACCTGCCTACTCACATGCAGCAGCAGGGAGATTGAAATGCCTATTGGATATCGGAGTGCCATTCGCGGTCATCTCATGAGGGACGGGCCCTCTAGAGTAATAGATTGGCAGGCGCGTCTCTGGTCACCGAAATCGCGGTTATTATACCCTTAATTGGGGTCTCCTCCGCTGCTGTCAAAAGCAAGACGTGGGTAACTCAATACATGTCCAAAGTCTCCCATCAAAAGCCCTGCCTGGATTCCAAGCCCTGGCTGCTTTTGCATAAGGTAAAATCGAATCCAAAGAGTCGGAGGAGGGAGGAGAGCGTATTGGGAGCTGAAAGGGGCAGAAATCAGCACGCCGCTTCTGAAGCGCGCTGTAGGAGGATAGCCTTGTTACATCGTGTACGTGTGTAGTAAAAATATGGGGAAGACTTGGCCATATGATGTCGGGTCGAGGCGTCATCAATACAACGGAGTATAGGAGTGGCCTGCTCGCTTCCTGTGTATTATAGGTTGAGACTTTTCAACCCGGTAGAAAGAACCAATCGAATGGTCTACTTATCCCTTTAGAAATAACTGAAAAAGTGAAATAAAGTGTTCCATCCTTGATGGGAAAGCCTGACTGACATGTGAAAAACGACACATTTCTGTCCTCTTCTTGCGCTGCTCCTTGGATCTTCCTAATCAAGGTTCTCTGACCTTATAGACAAACAAGGCGATTAGCACGGCTGTGATCGCAGCCCTAATGATAGATTGTTGCGCGAGGGGTAGTACAATAACACTCTCAAGTCATCGTGACAGTGCTGTCATGCGGTAATCCCCAGCCATGCTTTTATATTCATCGGGCGTTTCTGCCTTAGTGAGACATTTGGCCTCAATCTTCTCCGATAACGATGATGTAAGTGCGGGGCCAACGAGAGGAATGTATATCAGACAGATAGATTTCAGACCAGCCTGCGATTCAGTGAGGTCGCGCGTAGAGCCTTATAAAAATGGGCGATGACATCGAAGCTTGAATGCGTTAGTATGCCATGTAGAGGTTTTCATTCACTAGAATGAGGATGAACTTTAAGGATCAACGCCGCATTCCCACGGAATAGGATTTTGAGACTTGCTAAGGGGGATGTGGGAACAGGTCTCTTCGTTCCTTCTTGCATGCATTGGCAACTGCGCTGCTGCTATAAGAAGGCGAACACTGCTCGTTCCTGTTCCTGGCCTAGAGCCGGAAGGCTGGACTCCCAACTAAACGGGGAAGCTCGCGATGTCACTGAGTGGACCGAGGATATAGCAGCAAGACGAAAGCCGACTATATCCTATCCGGGGCATGACACTTAGGGATTCGTTAGCTGCCAGCTGCGAGAGCTGTTCTCAGGAAGTTTTGTTATCTGATTGACATACGAGCTTTGTTGTCTCGTCGTCAGCTTCGGTCGGCGATTTTAGTTGCGACCGGACCGCCGGCCTCAGGGCGACAGCGGAGAAGTGAAGAGGCTGGGAGGGCGCGCCCATACGTATCTCCTTGTCTGTTCAAACCATTGTTTGAGACGCCGATCAGATTAGTATTCCGCAACACACCTTCCGTCATACGATCATCGCGATACCCAAGCTTGCCTGAAAGCACGCCCAATCAAAGAGACCTTGCCAGACAGGCAAAAGCAGATCCGCTTGTAGATCGACCCTCTCTTTCTCCGCTCCCCAATACGATGCGCGGCGTCCAGAAATAGTGCGATGGGATTCCACGAGCGCAGGCCGAAATTTGCTAGCAGGAGGAGCTTGTGCCTAGGCCAGAGAGCCCGGGCTGCCCCTTGGGCTGGAACGATGCGAAGGGGTTGCTCGAGATTGGGTGGTTTTACCGCGGACTGCTCCATAGAAGGGGTGCATGCCTGTCGCGCAGCGCAGCGCATTTCGCATAGACAGCAATACTGTACAGCATTAATAAGTAGGTAGGTAGGTAAGTAGATATTGCAATCCCATCACCTATTTTTAGAGCGGTCATCAAGGAGGGAGTTGAGATGTTGTTCCTCGCAGACCCTACGACAGACAGCAGACAGCAGCTGAAGCAGGGCAGGGGAAAACAAAGGCACCAGCAATTATATCATTATACGGTATTCTGTAGCAGCACTACTCCTGATCGGGCGTAGCACTGGTGTTGTGCGGCTGCTCCAGCGCTGGGAGGGGAGCGCGCCGCATCCATATTTACTTATTACTGGATTACTGGGGTCCCGCATTAAGTATTAATAAAATATTACGGCCGTGCGGCTAATAATAAGTGACGGTGACGGTCGCCCGGACTGCTCCTCACGCTTCCCTCCCTTTCCGTGCCTTAGTCCTCCGGCAAAAAAAATAACACGAAGTCCTCCCTCGTTGCAATTTCTTTCTCCTTTTCCCCATCGACAGGAGACATTCCGAGCTGTGTTGTCCTGTTGTGTGGTCTTTGCTGGTGAGTGCTTCTTCCTCTGTTCTGCTCCCTCTGTTCTGCTCCTCTGCCGCGGCGGGTCGCCCTGGATCAACAGCCCAGGCCCAAGGTACGGAGTATTTATTTGGATTGCGACATCAACAATCCCCCCCCCAGCCTCACCGGTCACCTCGCCGACAGCATCATTCCACGAGCCAGCATCAGCGATTTCCACACGAAGGAGCTCTCGAAATCCTCGACCTCAGCATTCCAACTACTCTGATCCTACGACCTCCCGCCAATCCCCCACACGGATCCCCGACTCCCAACCGCCGTTCAGGTCCCTGCGTCCCAGTGAAACTGCCCCGGAACGACAGTCGTCGTTGAGCATCTTCTGCCTCCGCAGCCATTTTTGCATCTGGGATCTGGAAGACCCGACGAGGACCCAGGGCCCGGACAGCTGCATTGATACTGACATTGGTGCTGAATCTGGCTGACTCCTTGGCTGCGTCCTGCAACAGACCGTCCTTTCGTTCCGGTAATCCTCTGACGACCGATTATCGATCTTGTCTCTTTATTAATCTACAACACCCTATTTTGACACCCATAATATCGTCCTAGACCTCCTCACGAGTCTTGTCACTGTCTCTTGCAACCTCGGTTCTTCAATCTCTCGCATGATAACGTGATCGATCATCCTCCCCATCTCTCGGCATTAAATCTTTACTATATGCCTAAATTTCCCAAGAACTTCGGACGGCGAAAATCGGCCGCAAATGTGCTTGAGGACGTCCAAGATGTGCCGGTAGCTGAGCAGTCTTTCAAAGTGTTTGAGCGATCAGATGGTACTGGTAAATCTTTCGATGGAGGAATGAAATTGAAGAAGGCAGCAGGAGACGCACCAGTTCACAGACCGAAGACATCTTACCGGGAGGAGAATATGTTTGAGGGTATAATTCATGGAAGTCGGTGAGTAACTCTGCCTTTCTTCAGGAGATCAGGCCGATCAAGGATATGCGTGGTCCACGTTAGGTACTGGGGCGCTGACGGCTCAAAGCGGTAGTGGTGCCTCTAATACCAACACCGCCTCAACTACAGATAATTCGTCCCGCTTAAGTGCAGCATCTACAGCTCCATCGTCTACTGATGCCAGAGGAGATGACTGGAGGAATGCACACGATAAGCCTTCTAATGATAGGCCTAATACTCCTGCATCCAAGTCGGGAGGCACTTTCTCCTTCAAGTCTGCAGGACGATCACTTTCCTGGGGACGGATCAAACCTACGAACACCACGCCCCCTCTTGTTCCCTCAAAAGCGCCCCCTCTGCCGGCCGAGTATGAAAACGAGGCTGGCAGGGCACGGGCTGTAACAGCATCTAGCTATGCAAGCACTGCTACTCCACCAAAAATTGATGAAAAAGATATTGGATTAAGTTTAGGAGGTGACTTTTCCGATATGTTTGCCGAGTTCGCGAAGCGTAGGAGTCGGGTTCTGGAATCAGAGAACAGAAGATCTCCGTCTCGAAGTCCTGTAAGACCTATGTTTATTCAGAAAATGTTCGAATATAAGCTGACATCTGAGAAGGATATCCCACCCTCCGAACCAGCCCTACAATCATACTCGAACCATTCCAATAAGCCTCTACCACTTAACATTGACAAGGACAAAGATATCGAGCCTTCTCCTTACTCATGGAGTAGTCGGCATTCGCAAGATGGCTTGATGTCAAACTCTAGCCCACCTCCATTCGCTCCACGCAACGACGACGAAAACCCTTCAGTTCCCCAACATCGATCGTCAAAGAACAATGATGACTTCAGCAGAACTCAAAGGCCCGGCGGACTTGCCGACAGTGGCATACGGCGAACAAGCGCTCATCATGGGCGCCGCCCATCAAAGATTGAGAATCAGGAATTGGTGGATGAGGACGCTAGACTCCTAAGAGAATCCATAAATGCCAGCCGGAACCTGAATGACCCAGGGTATAACCCTAAGGTCCGAGATAGCTGGTCTCCTTCCAAAGCTTCAAATAAAGTCGGCGATACCCCTGTTCCGGCTTCCAATGTGGGATCTGTGGAGACAACCCCGAGACCACATAAGGTGGAAGCAAGAGAACCCGAGGAAGATTTATTCGATAATCACATAGCAGAATCCGCAAATATTGCTTCACGATTTGAAGAGAAATCCTTGTCACCACCCCCGAACCCTGTTCCCCGGAACAAGGTCATGACACCCGCCCAGTTCGAGAGATACAAACAGGATCAGGACAGATTGAGAGGTGTTGGAGGGCAATCAAAAGATGCGGAAGAGGATGAGGAAGAAGCTTACGACGATGAAGATGACGAGGCCGAGAAGAACAGACAACTGGCAAAGCAACGCCGTAAACAGGAGGCTCACATGGCTGTATACAGGCAGCAGATGATGAAAGTCACGGGCGAGGCCCCGCCAGCACTTGCGCCTCTCCGCCCTGGCTCGGTAGCTACTCAAAGTAGTCCCAATCTATCAAACCTTGGACGGCCGGAGGAGAATGAAGAAGAGGACGAGGAGGTCCCATTGGCCATTCTACAAGCACACGGATTTCCAAACAAGAACAAGCCGCCCATGCGGAGCGTGGGCTCGAGTTCTAGCCTTCGCGCCCAATCCATGATAGGTGCGCCGGACGGCAGACTGCCAGTATTTGCGAGACATCTCCCTCCCGATCCATACTTTGGCGCAAGTATCGCATATCCAACAAATCGTGAGTCCATGGGCTTCAGTGGAGGAGCCGGGTCTGTGCCAGGGACTCCAACAAGAGGCCTTCCGGTAGGAGGTCTAGTAGGTGTTATTGCCACAGAGGAAAGGTCTCGGGCTATGAGGAGAGGAAGTCCAAATCCTCAAGGCGAATTCGGCCCGATCCCGTCAAACGGTTTCGATGGTATGGGTATGCCGCCCAACCCTCGGGCGTCAGGTATGATGAATGGAATGGGCCCGATGGGACCTATGGGGCCAATGGGACCAATGGGACCAATGATGCTCACTCCTGGGGATCAAGCCCAAATACAGATGTCACAGCAAATGCAACAATTCATGCAGATGCAAGTCCAGTTCATGCAACTCATGACGTCCGGTCAGGGCACACCATCGCAGAGTGGGCATATGTCGCAACCGCCCTCTGGGGATGGCCTTGGACGACCTAGCAGTGCGCAGGGACCGCAGCTTCGACCGGGAAGCTCCCACCAGCGAGCTATGACCATGATGGAACCAAACTTGTCTTCTTGGATGCCACAGGGAGGATTGTTTGCACCTTCAATAAATGGTCAAGGCAGTTATGCCCCCTCCATTGCCCCCTCTGAAAGAAGCAATGTTGGATTGCCGGGTCGGTATAGGCCCGTATCTCAGGTCCCAGCATCGGACAACAAGTCCATCAGAGCTTCCACAATGACTGGGGCACTCCAGGGATGGGAAAGCAAGAATGGATCTACGACCGTTAAGGCGACCAAGAAGTCCGGGGATGCATCTGACGAAGATGATGAGCAGGGATGGGAGGAAATGGCAAAGAAACGGGAGAAGAAGAAGTCGATCTGGCGATCGAAGAAGGACTCTAATAATGGCTTGAAGGAGATGTTAGGTTACACCTGATAAGCTACGGTAATGGTGAATAGACGGGCAACAATGTTGATATATCGCATGCATGGCAAACCGGCGTTTTAAGAGCTTGGATCTGAAACTTGGATCATGTTTTCAGCATCTTCAGTACGAAAACTACCATGATTGTATAATATAATTCAGATTTCCGCCATTTTGGCTCTACTCCTTTTCCCTTTTTAGTGGATTTCCAACGTATGGACCGAATCCTTTGCCCAGATCATAAAATCTTCCCCGCAGCCCACTCCTTCCTCTTAACGCCCAACTCCACAGCCGCTAAACCCCAATCTTCACCGTGGTTGTGACTGCCACCGGTAATGCCAGCGCGAGCCTTAGCCTGCTCCTCATTCAAGACGGTCAGCAGGCCGAAGATCAACGGAACGCCGGTATCCAGCTGTATGCGCATCAAGCCATGCGAGACGGACTCGGCAATGTACTCGAAATGCATAGTCTCGCCCTTGATCAGGACGCCGATGGCGATGATGGCATCGAAGGGGCCGGAGGAGGGGGCGCTCTGGCTGGCCGTGAGGTCGGGCGTGCTCCCGCTGAGCAGGTCGCCCGCGCCGAGGGAGGACGAGGTCGTGGACTGGATCTGGGAGGCGGAGTAGAGCCTGTTTTTCATCGAACGTGTGAGTTGAGATGCTGGGGCGGTGGGTGGGTAGCAGCAATAGCAGTGTTGCCCTGGATTGCGGGGGAGGGGAAGCAGAGGAGGGGGAGGGAAGCAAAAACGTACTTAGCACAGGCAATGGGGAGCTCCCAGGAGCCTGGAACAGATTGCACGACAATGTTGGACTCCTTGACGCCAGAGGCAAGCAGCTTGGCTTTTGCGCCGGCGAGGAGGGGCTCAATTATTGCTGTCTCTTGGTCAGTGGGGGAGGGGGATGGATTGTGGGGCAGTTGTGCTGACTGGTATTCCAACGCGCGTGGACAATGGCGATGCGTAGACCGCTCCCATCGTGCTTCTGGGCTTCTCCGGGGCCTTTGAGTGAGGCCATGATGATGCTGGCTTTATTGAGTTTTCAAACTTCAGGTTGCTGACGTCCTTGGATGAGTGATGAGGGACGAAGCTGTGTGTTCCTGGAAATCACGTAATATTACCTAATCCTCCCAGAGGGGCCAAGCGTGCATGGGCCCGGACTCCGTATTCCTTAGCGAGGCTGGCCCGGGAGCTTGCCCCGAGTTTTGGCATCCTTGCTAGGGAGATAGAAAGAATGGTTTCCAGGGGGCAAGTTGCGAAACTCCTCATTCTCTGCAATATTACGCGTTCACAACTCGTGTTACAGCCCGGAGCACTGGCGCATGGATCTCTTAAAAAATCGAATTTAGTTACAAAAGCTGGTCAGAGCACAATGGCGCAATCATCATCAGCACTCGGGCCTTGGGTGCGCTTGGAAGGCATCACCATAGGTCAGCTCCCCCCAGGCGGAATAGGTGTCGAGCGGAGCAATGCTTCGTCGTCGGAAAAGTTCAGCGACGGGTCTGCATCTGGAGTTGCCCCGAATCTCAAGACGTTTATCACGAATGTCCTTTCCGAAGCCGTTCCTTTCATTGATGGCGTTGCGCCGAAATCTGGGGCCGCCTCGACATGGAAGTCGAAAGGTTCGGCCAAAAACTATCCCTCGTCCAAAGCTCCTGTCTATATATACGAAAAGACGGTGCCTGGCAAAGAGCTGGATAAGATAGACGGGATGAGTCACTTTAGCGCGGATAGGAAGAATGAGACTTGGTTTTGCAGGAAGAGCTGCCACGAGAACAAGGCGGAGACAGGGACGGCAAGCTGGGAGGAATTCACACATAGTTTCAAGGAACATCATGCCGAAACGGAGAAGGCGTTCACGCCAACAGTCATTGGAGCCAGGGAGGCCATGCGATGGAATACAAGTGGGATCGAGGCCGAGGTTCATGGTGAACGGTGGATCAACATTACCGTAGCTATCGAGGAGATGAAGCATAAGATCGACCCGAAACCACTGAAGAATCGCACCTTTCCTGTTGTGCAGGTCGCAGCAGAACTTGCTGGCGTGCAAGAATTCGTCGTCGTGTCAATCCCCCTCACCGACTTTGAAAGATCACCATATGCGGAATATGCGCGCGATAAGAGCTTGGTCGTGGCTGCGTATACGTCGATAGAGCGAATACGGGTGCTTCCAAGTAGCGGGGATGTGGAATGGATCATGGCCACAGCTTCAGATGCCGGTGGGGTTCTTCCTCAATGGATGCAGAAACTTGCAGTCCCCTCTGCAGTCGCAAAAGATGTTGAACTATTCATGGGGTGGATCCCAAGCCAAAGGAAGAACAACCCATCCCCGAATTCGAAGGCAGAATCTGCAGAGAATAATCTGCCTGCTGGTCCCTCGAATGATGCGCCCACTTCGATCTCGAAAACCAATGATGAGCCCTCGGCTTCGGGCTAAACAAACTAGTATCTGCGCGCTGCTTTGGGGGATAGTAAGATTGTTTTGTTCGTGGTATAATTATGCTGTCTGCTATTAGCGGTTGGATATTGTGTATGTTAGCGAAGCGCTTGAGATGTCTTCTTACCTATAAAGCTAAGCTGCTGTGCGGCCCCTTTCTTCCCAGAGTTTGGTTATTGCCATAGCAGTTCCCTCCAGAATAAGTTCGTGCTCCTGCTCGTGCATCCGGTTTGTCAACTCATCCAATGTTTCCGTTGGCCTACACTCAATCTCCCTCTGTATAATCGGCGTTCCTCGGTCCACATCTCTTATAACATAATGAACCATGATGCCGGTCCTGTTATTCTCTAACTGGCCCTTGTGATAGTCGTCATAAGCTCGTTTTATAGCATCCTTGCCATCATATTTGCCAAATAACGCAGGGTGTAAGTTGATGACTGGGATCTTCTTCTCTGTCAATGGATCCAAAAAGTGCTCATCAAAGACGTGCATCCAGCCAGCACAGACAACTATATCTGGTTCATCTGCTATAACCATCTGTGCCAGATCGGCGTTATACTTTTCTCGAGCTTTCTGGATCACGGTGACATCTTTCTCCCCTGAGGCATGATATTTGCCGCTGATGAGATTGTGATATGCCGTTGGAATAGAAGCGTTCTCGGCACGTGTAAGACCAAAGGCTTTGGATCTGTTGGAGATCACTCGTATGATTTTGAGGTAAGGCATGGTTGTGCGGGATGCATCGATAAGGGCTTGGAGGTTTGAGCCATTGCCTGAGATCAGGACTGTGGCTTTGGTTGTTGGTAGATCGTGCATGGTGTTGACTATGTTGGGAGAGGTTTTAGGTCAATTGAGGTGGTTTTTCAATTGCAGTTGGAATGAAATCTCGAGTACGGTGCTACGTGCAAAGTTGAAAGGCGCTGAACTGGGGTCGCGAGGAATTTCCCGAAAATTTAAACTTTGACGCTAGCAGGCCCCCCTGGAATCTACCCAATTCCCATGCTCGGCACGACAACAGCCTCATGTTCTATACATCGCTCGAGGTTCACCAATCTCAGACTCTCAAGCTTGCCACCACCCATCATGCCTATTGACGATATTGTCACAGATCCCTCTCTGAAGCTGGCGTTAGAGACGTCACATAAGAGTCGCGAACAAGCCATTGCCCTCCTTGATCTGGTCTCCAATGCTCCTCCGAGCTCCTCAGCTTCTGACGAATTCCAACTCCAGATCTCCAGAGAGCAGAAAAAGCTGCTCACATATCTCTCTCAGTTACGAGGCCTTCATCGCGATGCGCATGTCGGTGCTAGGGAGACGAAAGCTCTTACGGCTGAGATGCGACAGGAAGTAGACAAGCTACACCTCCAGCTGCAGAATCTTTACTACGAACAGCGACATCTACAAGGAGAGATTGCTGCTTGTGAATCATATGAGTACGCTATACAACCCTTCTCTGGTGGATGATAATTAATGGTATCTTCGATATAGTCACAAGTATCAGCAATTACCTCTCATCCCTGTGGAGCAATTCCTCGCCGAACACCCTGAGTATGCTGATGCGGATGAGAATTCGTTGATGATTGCACGAATTGATCATGAACATGCAGAGCGCTTGGCGCTAGAAGAGCAGAGGCAAGGATTGTTGAAGAAGAAGCAGGGACTTATTGCAGACAACAAGAAGAGGAAGGATGACCTCGCAAATCTTGATAAAGATTTGGAGAAGTTTATTGATGTAGGCTTTGGTTGTCTCTTCAGCATACATGAGGCTGACAGATTAATTCCAGGCTGCAAAACCGATCCAGAAGACGTTCGAAAAAGTGGTCTGAACTATATGCCAGTTCATTAATACCACATTCTGCGCAGCAGCTTAGCGGACTGCTCCCCGCTCTTCTCCGCCCACTTTATGAGCTACGATATCAGGTCAAATAGAGATACCCACATTCGCGAAGCCCTCGGCTCCTCTACTACATTAGATCATTCAGGGCACGTCCGCGCTTGGTCGTGGTGTCTTTGGGTTGCGCAATAGTGCGCAAAATTGTGGATAAATGGCGAAGTAGCAAAAAGGACATCTATAGAAACCGGAGAAAACAGAGAGCTGGAGTCTCGGCATCCCCATATCTTCCACACTCGAACGTATGTGCAAAAGTTGCAGCCAAAATGACAAACCGTTGTATTGATATTTCTGCGTTGAGAAGCCTGTCTTTTTTAAATAAAGCAGGGTTTTGGAGTTAAGATATCAAAATAAGCCAGTGGGATAGTTTTACTGTCTTAAAGCTGCACTATTTCATCTTTGAGAACTTGATTCAATATTTGCTTTCTCCTATCCATACATATTAGTGCTCTTGTCAACCATCTACTCAATCACGCGCAACAATCAATGATTTTTCAAGCTCCGGGAATAAAGAGCAAGATGAGTATCTTCTAGTTGAGACAAAAGAATGTATTGCTGCTTCAATTAGCACTCCATCCGCTTCAAATTCGAGGTGTATCTGTATACTACATTGCTGTCCATTAACTTTCCTATACCCGCAGTCCCTCTGGGAATCTGCAAGTTCGACTCGCTCGACCATGCACTCGATCTTGAACCAGATCGAGATGCTCCTCATGACCTCTGCCAGTCACTAGGACCATCATATCTCAAGAAGACTGCTCTTTCCCCACCGAGAACCCAGTATGAGATCTCCTGGCTCAAGTCTGGCTGTATTGCCCCACTCCAAGCAAGCTATGATATTGACAATTTGGATTCGATGGGGGTAATAGATTGTAGGGCTGTAGATTGGAGGGCTGCGCTGCGGATCGGACTCGTGGTAATTGGAGGGATATTCCCATGCGTTGATGGGTATTGGATATGTACGAAGATGCTGCCGCTAGGAAGAGCTTTGCCCGCTCCTCCTAAGATGATAAGTGAGCGGTTGGTATCTGCGGTACGCATGTATAACACTATTCTTGGATACTAGTAAATGCGTTGTTGGATGGTTGGATGGTTCTGGCTCAAAATTCCACATGATATAGGCTTGAATTGACATCACGCAGAGACGTCTATCATTTGTACTTGGAGAGCCTCGCTTTACAACCTTGACTGGTCTTGTGGTAGCCACTTTCTTAAAGTTCTCCAGCCTCTCTATTGTTGGACTTTGCCAACAATCAATGAAGTCAGTAACATTGTACTATAGTAACTATTCCTCAAATTTCCAGTTAGCATACTGGATCTAAATTGGTTTCTCTATCCTTGGATAGCACGTGGAATCGTACCTACTTCTCTTCCCACCTATTGGTCGGATGGCACGCATCGGGGTGTAAACAACTGAGGCGTAATCCATTGTCAAAGGGGAGATAGAACAATATATGAAACTACTTGGGATCTTTCAAGTTCTCTCAACAAGGCTCGGATCACCAAAACTATTCCTGTAGGCAATTGATATTCGATATCTAATATTCGCTACACTTGGGAGAGCTGGGTCCACGAATTCACTTTCGAAACCCGGCTGAGTCTCGTCTGTTTCCCGCTTCAGCCTTACTTCGCCAGACCACACTACTCGAAACTATTTCAAACGAAAAGCGAGAGTCTGGCATTGTTCTTCTTCGTCCGATCTTCCTCTCTCCATTGCGAGACACTCTCTTCTACGGACAGCTTCGTCTGGAAGCATTCCAGTTGAGAATCACTTGGAAGAGTCACTAGTCACCAGTCACTTAAGAATGTAAGCAACCACCCATTTCACTAGAGAGCTACATTGTTCATGCTCAGCTTTTGTCTGACTTGTCTCTTTGCCATAGTCATTCGCGCCCGACAAGAAGATACCGCCAGACAAGACACAATGTCTGAATCCGATAGTTCTGAAGAGCCGCAAGCAACACAGGTGCAGACCGTCGAGAAGAAGAAGATGAAGCTAAGAAAACTACCCGCCGATGTGTTTGCACGGTATGTTCGTATGCAGAGGTTCCGCACTCGAACTAACTGGCCGTAGCAAGATCCAGTACTTCTCTGGACCCGAAGTCACCGTTCGTGTATGTGGAAGGGACTTCATACTTCCTAAAAGCCTCCTCTGCTACAACTCGACCTTCTTTGACCGTGCTTTTAACGGCCCCTGGAAGGAAGGCGTTGAGCAAGAGATCACCCTTTCGTCTGCTTCGGTCGAGGCATTCGAGATGGTTGTCCAATGGATGTATACTTCGAATGCTGTCATTCCAAAACCACGACTGGAACCTCAACCTCAGCCTCAGCCTCAATCAGATGGACAGAGAACTATCATCGACTTCGAATACTTGAACGATGGTGACACTTATTACGACCCGGATGAAAGCTCTTCCAACGACAAGAGTGATGTCAAAGTTAACTCTCAAAACATCATCTCCTACCTCGGCTTTCTCAAGCTGGCAGACGAGCTTGATCTGCTAGGTCCATTTGACGATATTCTGAGCAACATCAAGGAGATTCTCATCTCATCTCAACTCTCACTTCAACCAGAGCATATCCGCGGTGCTTCGGAGTTGCCATCTGGCCATGGTCTTCGGAAGCTCTTTGCCCAAGCTTGTGTCAAACGTTACATTAACGACACTATAAGGGACAGCAAGAGCTTCAGATTCGCAACTGAGATGGATGAAGTTGAAAGCTTCGCTGCCGATTTGTTCAAAGAGGTTGATAAGGTTCTCCGCCAAAGGCATAAAATGGCTAAGACTCGACCCGAATACTCCTACTTTGACCCACTCACAGGCGAACGATTCATGGCCTAGTGGGGAACGTAATTGTATGGGGATTAGCATACGACAAAGGTCTAGCTTGGCAGAAGGGCAAAGCTGATATCTGGGGCTCTTTTAGCATCTGCGGTGTGTTTCTCAGGCAATTCCCAGAGGGATAATCTCAACTTCTCATGACTACCATTACAAGGAAACCTTAGCTGTGAGCAATATGAGTTCAGTACCCTTGAAATTCTGTCATGAAAATTGTGAAATGGACCATTGAGCAATGTATAAGTTCAGCCGCCACATATGATTTGAGATCCCAATTTCGCCAGAGCTCGTTCAAGAAGTCAACAAGCCTTGATTGTTGAACCAATTCTGTCAAGAACCCTGGCTGACTTCTCTAAGCAGTTAGAGAAAGCCTTCGAACACTAGTAGGACATGAAGGGCAATCTGGTCAGTTCACTTTACCGACTTTTGAAGGTTAAAGACTAAAGGCATCATGACTAAAGCTGTTCTTGTTTGTATCCCCTGGCCACAGTATCAGCGCAGGACGGATAGTAGCAGTGAATCAAAAAGGCTACTGAGATTTTAGATGCAGATGCGCCTTGTTAGATGCCATATCTACCTGTACACAGTACTGTAAGGACTACTGCACATTCCTGTTTAGATATTGGTGCGGCTAAAGACTTTTGCCCAGGCAGGAAGGCATACATGTGTTTCGAGGAGATTCAAACAAAGTTTAACTAGAGATTGTGCTTTCCCACCTACCTACCTACTCAGCCTCTAATAACTCTGTCAATTCTCAGCAACCACAGCCAGTCGGTCTCAATCATTCTCCACTTTTCGTTCCACAGTCTGCGATGCATCCGACTTCTGCATGAGAGATGCAGAGGATGTGCAGGATATCTTGTCTGTGTCAAGTCACCCTTCATGCCTTCAAACTACCCACAAAAAGAGACCGCCATATCCTTTTGCCCTTTCGACCAAGGAAACGGTCCCCGCTAAGTGGCTGATTATCAGATCGTTCTAACCGTGAGTCGTGACTGGATAGCCTTGAATCCGCTTGGGACAAGGACTCTGGCGCTCTTGCAAATGAAGCAAAGCCATGTATCTCACCCAGGTGGGCGCTTAAGCTTTCATCGCTCGGCACCAATGAAGGGCCGCAGCCCCTCTGGCTCCTGCACACCACCCCAGCTCCTCGTCGTCGACGCGCAGAAGTCACACATCCTTGTGCTGCCCTTCCACTAGCCGTACGGAGTATAAGGCATTGAAGGGTCAGCTGGAAAGCGCCGGCGCTTAAACCCACTGCTTCCCCCGTCCCATGCAGCTCCAGGACCTCGGGTCGTCCATCCCCTCTTCCGTTAGCCTCTCATGCGCTGCTTTTGCAACTGCTCGGGAAATATTTCGTCAGTTGAGATTTGGAGATTTGCAAAAAGACTGTGCGTGTATGAGGCTTATGCCTATGTCGTGTTTGTTGATGGAAGCAGAACCTCGAGCCTATGGCAGTCTGCCAGCTGGCCTGGCTTATGCTAATAGCTATCCTGGTTGATCTGCCATGTGAATTCTGGCAAGGGAAGCTTTGGCTGCCTGTTATGTCAGGTACAAGTTACAACAGCCTTCAACGGCTGGCCGCAGATGAAGCGGTCGCCGAAAAGGCTCTGTTGATGTACATGCTGTAGTAGATATGATCTCGCAGGTTTCAGATCTGGCCGTTTTTTACAGACTGCGGCCCAGACGCGTCCTCATGTCAGTCATCGGTCAGGTTGATCATGTGTTTTGATAGATTTATTTGTTTAAGGTATTCTGGTATCCCTTCCTGCGCCTCTTTCTCCAATCCATACAAGTCAACCCAACCCAGTCCCATCCCGCTGTACGCCGATGTACGCCTACTACAGTTGTTGGGTTGCCCATAGAGAATAATACCCTCCAATCCTTTAAACTGGTCGATGGCATGGCGGGGTGAAAGCCAAACCCCGCTTGCTCTCTCGGCCCTATCCGTTACCTTACTCCCACATGCTCCAGGCCGTGCGCCGAGCAAGATAGCGAAACATGAAGCCTCCCATTTTCCTCCCTAACTGAGACTTCTAGGCCCCTTATTTTCATCAAACGAACAAGAAGAGAAGGCGTGAAATCGTGAATGACGGTCGTTTATCGAAAGTTATTGTAGGTGTGGCGTTTGACAAAGTAGACGTAGTGTGGAAATATTGTAGAGATTTCGAGAATGGTAAAATGGGTCGAGACCGGGATGCATCATGATAATAAGGTCTCCATGCACTATTCAATCTTCCTCCTCTTTCCTTTAGGCGCAGGGCTCATCCGAGGTGTATATGTGACGGTTCGCGTGACAATTTCTCGGACTTGGCGAACACTTGATCTGGCTGTCTTGGGTGATTTGATATCGAAATATCTTCCCTTGCTCTGGAAATCCCAATCATAAGGGGACCGGGCACCTCGTGCACTGCGTGCACTGAAAGGAGAATGAACCGCCGAGGAAGCGGTTAGTGGTGCGCTCAACGGCGATTCAGCACCGGGGGTTGCGGGCGAAGGTGGGATTCGAAGACGTCCTAACCATGAGGTTGAACGCGCGCTAGATGGGTAGACGAAGGGCGTTGTTGGAGGCACAGCTGAGGTGGGTGACTTGTGGGTATCGCAATTGCAAGAGCAGTCGCTATTCTCGCTCGAATTGGTGGAAGGGACCGAGGTAGGTGTGGTTCTTCCAGATGACTTCTCTCCCGGCACTGGACTCGCCATAGTCTTGAGGAAGTCTGTATATGCAGTTGGAGGCGTGATGGGAGTCTTGATATCCTCCTGCTTGATGAAATCCGCAAAGCCCGTCCGAGGCGTCCGCGCAGAGAGAGCTGACAGCTCCGAGGGAAAGGTGGAGGATACTGGCGTCTTAAGCTGTGCAAGCTTGGGCTTGGTAGTTGAACCCATTGTGGCTCCAGTCAAGAGCAATGAGCGTCCGATAGATCAAGAGAATGATTCGGAGCACAAGAGGTGGGCACGCTTGCGACGACGGGAAGTCCGTAGGAGAAGAAAGGTATCGTGATCGGGGCGTCGAAGAAGTAATATACAGGAGTGTGATGGCTTGAAACGGGTCCTTGACGTGCTGCTTTTACCGGGCAAAGCAGAGGCAGGACGAGTAAGAGAGCGGGATAGCAGCCAGCGCTATGGAGGTTGAGCACAGTCAGATGGGCGCTTGAAGGGCGCGAGAGCGAAGGCGCCTGCAGTCAAACCTTCTTTGTTGTGCTGTGGTGGAGGAGCTCTGAAGCTGTCAAAGCGGCGCGTGGACGACGGGGAGTGGGGTGGTGCCAGAGGCCGTTGCGCTGCTTTGCGGGAACTTGGCCGTGGAAGCGAGCGGTGCCTCTTCCGGACGACAGCCTCCACCGACCGCGATGGTCAACACTCAACACTACAGCAGAGCTGGGATGGCGTCGCTGATTCGCAAATCGAGCACGGCAGTCTGTGATTCCTGCGTCGTGAGTCGCGAGTCGTGAACCTCCCGGCGGAGACTGGGCGAGTGGCGGAGAGCAATGGCCGGCTGGGATTGGATGTGCTTCGCGCCCCGCGTGCAGGGAGGGCTCCAGTGCCTGGCACCGAGTGGTGATTGGTTCCGGGGGAGCCAGAATCCAAAGGACGTGGTGTCTCAAGGCTATACTTAGTAGCCACCGCGCTGCTGTCTGTGGTCCGGCGGCACGAGATGATGGTAGGTCAGTAGTCGCTGGCTCCTTGCGCTCCACAACTGAATGGTTGGACCAGAGCAACCTGTGCTTGGAAGTATCCAACTGAAGTTGCCGGATCACTCGTGGATCCCGATCTCAATCGCCTTGGCTTATTCCTCAAGGAGGATCGTGCGGCCTGCTTAATGACTCCGGGGGGACGGTTACTGGAAATGGATTGCGAATTTGCGCAAGACCACCAACGTAGGTGTTATAAGTGATCCGAAAGGGTGGGAGATGAGGGAAGAAGTTGTGTTGGTCAAGTTTATTCGTGAATGCACATATATCTTCTGGGATTTCTCGACCATTATGTACTCGCCCGTAAGCCGCGTTTTGTTCTTGCTCTCGCGTTCCTGATACCTCCTGCCCGCGCGGCACCATTTTCTAATCTCAGATGATCGAATCATTACAGGCGAACAAGTGTATCTCGCCGCTGGCGAGTGCTATGTTGGCGGTTAATGAGGACTCCCGCGCGCTTTCTACAGGCGGCGCCGCCAGCCACAGCAAAAGGCCTTGGAGAGAGCCTTCGAAATTACATTGTGTGGCTGTCAGATCTTTATGGATCAGTACGTTATATTTTCGACAATGTGGCACAGGAGAGAGCCCTATAGTGTACAAAGCATTGCAGCGCGCGGGTATCTTTTGACAAGCGGTTCCATTCCTGACAGCTGACACCATCGAATGAGATCTTCAAGTAGAAGCTTCCTGACAACCTTCCATAACTGATGCTATCTCCCCTAGTTGGCGCCACCTCGAGGTCGGAGCCTGCTCGTGTGCGAATCCTTTGACTGGTTCCCATAGCGGGGTCTTGCATTGCAGGTCTTCGAAATGTCTGCAGTATACCTCCGTTATCTAGCTTATTCATCGTATGGACGGGATGTTCGTTTAGGGTCCCAGTGGGAGAAGATAGAACTCTTGACCAGTCGGGATCAACGCCTGATCTGAATTGGCCGGAAAGCAATGGCCTAATCTCATTTCGACAGTACACACCAGTGTTGTGGATTCCAGAACGTTCGAGCATCTAACATGGATGTATGTCCAACAGTGTCTGCAATGAAGAGGCGAGTCGGATCAAGGATTCGTAGAAGCCAAAAACTGTGGAGATCAGGCTGTGCTTCGGCGACTAGAATCTGCCAGGGATGGATAACTGGCAGGTGAGGCACATAGATCTTTGTCCTATTCGTTCCTAAACCTCAAATATGGCTGCACCGGTCGAAGGGATCTATTTCTATGGCCATGCATTCCCACATGGATGCTCTTCTGTCAAATCATCTCTCTTTTGAAGGATTCTTCCGGGCAGGATGACAGTCCAATTCTGTGGCCATGCCGAGCGTCGTGTGATCAGGGACAGAGATGACACGTGGTAGTGGTTGATTGTAGAACAAATCCAAGATCTAACGATGCTTGCTGCATATGATTCAGCTGTCAAGTACGAAGTTCTGAATTCTGATCATAGTCATTTATCATCCCCTTCTAAGCAACCCAAGAACGAGCAAGTATGTACTTAGATACTTGGATTACTTTGCTCCCACATACTTTGTTGCTATTCCATGTCCCATGCTGTTGGTCACGCATTTCAAGTTGCTGTTCTTTTGATGAACCATTTTTGTGGAAAATAATAAAATGGCAAGGCTACATGCTATGTTGGTGGCTTCAGATTTCAACCAACTGGAGATCTTCAAATCTTCAAATCAACACTAGTACATGCGCACCCCTCACTCCTGACCATAAGTTGGATAGGTCACCCCCAACTTTGATCTCCAAAGTAACGTAATTGATTGTAAAGAGCATAATATGAGCCAAACCTCTTGGCATTGTCCTCACAGAACAGTGCAAAGTGTTGGCCAGCTTCGCCGAAGAACGAGAGATATCGCTTAAATAGGGATAAAGGTAGTGTTCATTGAATCTCTTATAGTATTTGATCAATTGTTAGGCAATACTTACTGTATCTCATCCCCTCCGCTGGTTCTATCCGTTGCATTTAAGTGGGTTCGAAAAAGTGGATGATATACGTTCTTTGATTATTTCCTCAAAAGCGTCAATGAATCATCCGGTGCTTCACATTTATTTTCTAATGAGCACGATATAATATATTCTAGAACACGGGCAACACACGGTCAACGACGAAAACATCTCCCCCTTAAGGAGCGGCATTTTTAGAAAACAACAGCTGCTACACTTATTAAAAGGACCTTAAAACACTCCTTTAAGTGCCCTCTTTGACTTCTATCGTCGTACGATAGCGTACCTACTAGTGCCCTTAAAGGAACCTACTAGAGACGGTCGAAATAGGCTAGAAGGACCTAGAATCTACCTAGGCCGACAATTACTTAGTATTACTACAGAAATTTACAAAGTAATATCGTAGGCCGATAGGCAGGCCTCTAGTGCTAGACGCTCTCTAGTAATACTAAGTATTAAAAAGTTAGTTAACAAAATTAAACGCGTCGCGAAAACTCTATACGTAAGTAACGACGACGCTAAGGCCCTAGAATAGGCCTAACGAATAGCCTCTTTAATCAAGAATATTAAAACTAAAGTCACGAACCTTAGTACGTAAGGCCGACTAACGTACGTAGTAATAGCTAGAGAGAAAGCGCCCTAAGCCTACCTAGCGACTAGTAGCCCCTTGACCTAGACGTTTAGGTATAAGGACGTTATAGAGATTAAGAGAAGGATTAGGGTTAAGCTCTCTATAGAGGATGTAGAGAGGTTTAAAAACATTAATTATAAGACAATAAAAGATAAGATTAATATAGCTCTCTTAGGCGCCCTAGTACAAGCTGTTTATAAGTATAGAAACAAAGGCTATACGCTTTATATAAAGGATTTAGAGAGTATAAGGTAAATATAGAGAGATTAAGGCTAGGTAACGTTAACCTTTAGTAAAGTAGAGGTGTTCTAGACTATACTACTAATAATTGTACACAATGTTAAGGTTAAGAGAGTAGGTGTTAGAGATTAGTATCACGGGTAATACAGTAGAGAATTACAGTCAAGTAGCTAGTAAGTTATAGTATACTTTAATTTAAATCTAAACTAATTCTTACCCTCTTCCCTTACCCCTTACTCCCTAAGATATATGTGTACTACCTAAGAACCCTAAGTGGCCCTAGCGTACTTACAGGTACGTAGGGCCTACGTATTCCTGATCCTACCCTTTTAAGTCCCTAACATTACCTCTCCCTCTTACGGCTCTGTCTTAGAGTCGCGTAAACTACGCCGGATATAGCGCCTCCCTAGAGTTACATAAAACCTATACTAGATATAGCTAAGCTCTCCCTTTATAGCGCTATCTAAGATAAGCAAGGGCCGCGCTAGGTAAGCCCTATACCTCTCCTTACGGCTCTTACCTTATATATAGACTATCCTTACCCTAAAACCTTAAAACAACATAGTATAAATATAAGAAAGAAAGAATATCTCCTCTCTTTATCTACCCTCTATCTTTGTCTGTACTAGTAGTAGCGCGCCTGTCGCGCCGGATTCGCGCTAGCGCGTTCCCGACAAGCTACATAATAAAGGCTTTAGCCGCTCCTTACTTATAGTGCCTTATCTACGTAAGAATTTGTTTAACGTAAAGAATTGTTTGTAGAGCCTTACTAAATGTTTATATCGTGTCGTTAGCGAGTGTCTTATAACACGCCACTAAGAAAGAGTATATAAAGAGGTAAACTTTTCCCTTCTTACCTTCCTTTTCCTCTCTTTCTAAATTAAGCCGCCTTACCTCTTACGCCTCTCTAGTGCCGCCCTCCCTAAGCCTTCCCTTTAAAGCTATTGCCTTACGCCTCGCGCCTCTCCTTATTCTCTCTTTAACCCTCCCCTACCTTACATAATACTACCCTACTATAGCTAACCCTGTCTGCCCCCGCGCTCGTAGGGTACGCCCCCGCGCCTCTCTCGCGCGTACTACGTCCGCTACACGAAAACACAAGCAGCTAAGCCTAGGCTCGCCTATATTACTTAGGCAAGTTAGACTAAGTATAACTAATACACTACTAAGTGTAAAGCTTGTTATAAGATCTTATAAGAGTTCGTAGCTAAGCTTAACAAGTTACTCCTCCTGTCTGATCGCGCTAAAGCCGCTATTACGGCTAATCCTGTCTCTACCCGCTCCGCGACCCTTAAGGCAAAGCTAGGGCCTTACTAGTACTCTTTTACCCGGCAAATTAAGAGCTATTTTCGCTAAGCCTGTCTTTAAGGCCTCTTGTAGCCCTTACGTACTACTACTAAAGCCGTCTTAATCGCGGTTAACGTACTATAGGGTCTCTACCGCTTAATTAATGTTATTATAGACACCTATTAACATAACGTAAGTGTCCCCTTTGCTTTACTAGTACTTACTAACCCTAGTTAGTCTAACCTCCTGCCTGTTACTAAGACAGATCCTTATAATAATAACGACAACAATAACGACAATAATAATGTAAAGGATAACAAGGATAACGACAGTAATAATAAGTAGTAGTCTAGTCTAGTAGTCTTAGGCTGTACAGTCGTAGCGCTTAGGTTACGCGTGTATGTCGCTAGTATACGACTAGGACTTATTTTTGCCTTTCCTTTTTTCCTTTTCTAAATTAACAACTATTCCTAACCTAACTACTTACTGTAACCCGCGCCTTCTCTAGTGTTTCCCTTTCGCGACACTACCCTAGTCCTTAATTAGTACTACCTTCTTATATTCCTA